CCATGATTCTCCCGCTCCAGACAGACGCAGGTTAAGATCCTCCCTGGTAAGCCAGCTCGTGGGCTACACAGAATATTAGAAATGGGTTAGAACAATATGTAAGAGCTAGCCAATAAGAAGCTGGAACTAGCCGGGCCAGGCAGTGTTTGAAAGAATACAGTTTCCGTGTAATTATTTCGGGGCATAAGCTAGCCATGTGGGCGGCCGGGTGCCTGGAACGCAGCCCCGCTGCTCCTAATGCAACAGTTCTGTTATGTAAAATATCGTGAGACTAATTTCCAAGGGAACGTGGAACCTGGGATAAGTTAGCTCCATGTTTTCTGGGCCATGGTCACTGGAATTTGGTTCTAGAATAAACTATCTCCTATTCTTTTGGAGATGAGAGTCTTTAAGATCCTGAAGACGTCTTTTGCTGTTGACCTGGTGGAGAGAGTGGAAACTGTAGTCACATGAACTTTATAGCCTGCTGACCTTAACTCTGTTTCAGTCAGACATCACATCAGATCCTAGACTAGAGGTTCTCCACCTTCCTAAAGCTGTGATCCTTTAACACAGCTCCTCGGGTTGTGGTGACCCCCACCATAAAATTATTTTTGTTGCTACTTCATAACTGCAATTTTAGTGCTGTTATAGAATTGCAATGTAAATATTTTTGGAGACAGAGGCTTGTCAAAGGGGTGGCGACCCACAGGTTGAGAACCACTATCCTAATTAGGCCTTTATGCTATAGAACCCATCTTTATGGTAAAGGCCACATGTATTTTACAAAAGGAGTTTCCATATAGTCATGTCTTAAGCTTGTGCACATGGTGCTGAGATAATCATTACTAGGAAACTTGTTTCCAAAATTATATTGCACTTAAATATGTCTAAAATAACCTGGCCTGGTGTCAGATTTCGAGAAGATGAACCGGGACTAAGATGAGTTTTCCTTCTGACCTCATGCAGATCCTTTTGCTGATGACCATGACGCTTGCAGAGATCCCAGCAACAGGTGGAAGCAGTCCTTACTGAGCCTGCTTGGTGTTCAGCATCAGAACTCAAAGGTTAGTCTTTGATGTTCCCTTACAGCTGTCTTGCTCTGATTCCACCTGGCTACTTCCCGTTGTACCTTAGACAAGTGTCCCCAGTTTCCCCGTTCGTTTCCCAGTTACCCTCCTCTCATAGCTAAGTCGAGTTTATGCATACACATCCTGAAAGATTTATTTTATGTGTATGCATGTTCTGGCTGCATGTATGTATGTGTACCATGTGTGTGCCAGTTCCTATGGAGGTCAGGAGAGGGCATCAGATACAACAGAACTAGACTTCTGGATAGAACTGAGCTTCAGCTGTGAGTGTCCCTGTGGGTGCTCAGAATAGAACCCAGGTCCTCTGTAAGAACAGCAAGGGCTCTTAACCACTGAGTGTTCCCTCCACCTCCAAATACTCACCCTTCAATTCTAGCAGTCTAGAAACAAGAGATGTCCTAAAGAGATTGTTCCGGCCAAATGATGCTTTCTTCCATGGAAATCTATGAGGGGCTCTTACCTCCGGTCCTGAGAATTAGACAGGACCACAGAAATTTTATACAAATGAACACACACAGCCCACACAGTCAAATCTCTCTGTCTGTCTGTCTCTCTCTCTGTATTCTATGTTGCATAGGTTGGCTTCAATTCTTGGGCCCAAGCAATTGTCTTGATTCAGCTTCCCAGGTAACTATACAGTTGGCTTTCAGTTCTGGTTTTCATAGCAGTTGCATAATACGAAGTCAATTTGAACAGTGGATCAATGAATCACTGCTCCCGGAGGAAACACAGGATTAACACAGGTCACAGTTATGTCAACCGAGCAACACAAGGTATTCCCTGTTTTGTGTATGAAATAATTATTATTTACTGATTTTTTTTAACAATATTCAAACAAGCCGGGCGATGGTGGCGCACGCCTTTAATCCCAGCACTCGGGAGGCAGAGGCAGGCGGATCTCTGTGAGTTTGAGACCAGCCTGGTCTACAGAGCTAGTTCCAGGACAGGCTCCAAAGCCACAGAGAAACCCTGTCTCGAAAAAACAAAAAACAAAAACAAAAAAAAACCCACCAATATTCAAACAAGGCCAATAGCACTATAACTCACGTCTGAAGTAAGTTTATCTAACATGTATTTGTTCCTCCTAAGGTTTATCACCAGGCCTTTTTGCATCTGGGAACAGCAGAAAGAATGGCAGCACTGTGTGTGTGTGTTGGGGGGTGGGACAGTTGTCGAGCAGCAGAACCGCCAGCAAAAGCAAAAGAATCGAAATGTCAAAAAGGGGGAGTGTGGTAAGGACCAAGTAAGAACGCGGCACACAGTTGTTTGCAGTATGAGACCTGGATTAAGAGGGTAGATTGTTCCCTAGTCCCACCTCACCTGAGGATATGGCATTGGAAAACTTAAATTGTTTATCACTTCAAGTGCTGATTTTGGAGTTACAAACAGATGTTAAGTAGGCTAGCTGACAATACAGATGTTTTAATACCAGCCAGCAGGCTGTGCTTAAAAGAACTTCAGACTGGCTAGTTTGAACAGTGTGTTTGACTTTTATTTATTTTTATTTTTTAATTTTTTTCTGAGGCAGGGTCTCTCTACATAGCTCTGGCTGTTCTGGAACTCATTCTGTAGACCAGGCTGGCTCAAACTCACAGAGATCCACCTGCCTCTGTTTCTCAAGAGCTGGCTCAAAGGTGTGCACCACTATACAAGGAACGATTCATAAGCCAGGCGTCATTCATGATCAGAAGAGGCTCAGAGAACTCAGCTTTGGAACATGGACAATATTTATAGACAGAACAATTGAAAAAAAGCACAGAAATAGCGACAGGCAAGCAGTTGCTTTATTTGGATATGGTCTGAACAATTGGAAATGTTCATGATTGACTGAGATCTGGGTGTTAACAGCAATATACATAGTTGCTGTGTGGTGGCATATGTCTTTAATTTTCCAGCACACAGAAGGCAGAGGCAGGAGGATCTCTGTGAGTTCAATGCCAGTCTGGTCTACAGAGTGAATTCCAGGAGAGTCAGAGCTATGTAGAGAGACCCTGCCTCAGAGAAATCCTGTCTCAAGAAACAAAAATAACAAACAACCCCCAAATATATATATATACATACACACATTTGTATATTATACATATTATATACATAGAGAGAGCCATGTTAATTGTTCATTTTTTAAAAGAGCGTCTTCTTTCTTTCTTTCTTTCTTTCTTCCTTTCCTCTTTTCTTTCTTTTTTTCATTTTTTCTTTTTTGTTTGTTTTTTCGAGACAGGATTTCTCTGTATAGCTTTGGAGCCTGTCCTGGAACTTGCTCTGTAGACCAAGCTGACCTCGAACTCACAGAGATCCGCCCGCCTCTGCCTCCCAAGTGCTGGGGTTAAAGGCGTGAGCCATTAAGCCCGGTTCTGACTTAACTTTTAAAAACAAGGATTCATATGTAGAATTCTGACTTTATTAGTGTACATCGTGCTGTAGCTCACACACTCATTGTTGAAACTATCCTCTCTAATAGATACAGAACGTTTCTAACACTCCAAAGAATTCTCAGACTTCCAAGTTTCCTTCATGGCTAGCCCTCCCATTTCAGGTCTTCCCTCTCTCAGGGTAAAGGGCGGAAGCACAGAAACAAACACGGAGTGGCGCAGATGCCAGGCTATAGGATTTTTGCCCTCCAGCTTGAGAACCTTTGCTTGGATCTAGAACAGTCAATCCATGGCCCTTTGAAGGGCTCGCCGCTAGAACTGCCGCGCCTGCGCAGCTCTACTCCCGTCCCCGACCCCGACGCCGAGGCCCCGCCCCCGACGCCTAGGTCTTGGTACCGGGTCCTCCAAGCGCCCTGGCTGAGCGCAGGTTTCGGTGTGCGGGAGACGGCTCCTGTCGCGCTTTCCTCTGCGTCCGCTGCTGGAACCATGCCTTCTGCCGCGTTGAAGTCCCCGCGCCTGCGCCGCGTGTTCGTGGTCGGCGTTGGCATGACCAAGGTAAACGGAGCTGTGAGGCCCCGAGGTGACAGGGAAGCGTGGCCGGTGCACGGCCACCGTCCGCACTGCTGTCCCACCCCTTTTAGAGTCGCGTGGGCTTCAGAGAGGCCACTTGGGAGTTTATGGTGTTGCTCCTAGGGTCGAAATGTCTCGGGTTTGTTCCCTCAGCTATTTTTTTCTTCGCCTTCCTGTTTCCCCCTTTCTCGCTGCTGAGCCTATGAAGGTGCCCCCAAGAAAACCCAGACCTCACACTTCCTTAGATTCTAAATCCCAATTAATTCTAAATCCCGGGTGGCTCACATCTGTCTGTACTGTGAGCTTTCAGAGATGCAGCCAGAACTGCTAAAAGTTCGAGGTCATAGAGGACTATGTAGCAAGACCTTGTTTCACCAAACAAAGCAAACCAAAACGACAGAAAAACATTTGAAGCTTGGACAGAGGCCAGGGCTGAACGACAGAAAAAAGAGGAGATCGTGAATGCCACCAGCTCTGTAGTGGCCATAGGTGCCCTTCTCAGATAACAGCAGGTGCGGCTGCAGGCAGTCTTAAGGCAGGTTGCAGGTTCCCTCCATCCTCTGACCATAGTGCTGTTTCTGATACCAAGGCGACCAGAAGCGCCCATAGCCTCCTCTGAATACCCTGACTCCCCTCCGTGCCCCAGTAATGCCAAGTTACCTGCAGCTTCTGTCTTAATCTTCTGCCACTTTGCATCCTAGCGGCACTACTTGCTCCTGCTGACACCCCCTGGTTAATTTCTTTGAGCTCTTAAAGGGACAGTTCAGGTCTTATCTTCTAGTAAGCCCTTGATTATCTTGGCTTTCTCACAGAACCTTGAACTTAGTTCTGATTTACTTGGATGCACTGAATTGTTTTGTTTAGACGTCTATATTCTCCTAATGCATCACTACAGGGTGGGTACCAGATTATTAGCTACTGTATCCCCCACAGTGATAATCCCTGGTGCCTAAAGACAGTGACTGTTAGTTGATCAATATTAGACGCTATACTTTGTGAAAGAGTTCCTTGAGAGATTTTTTTTCTGTGAGAAAACAGCCTTAAATTTTATATTATCTTCCCCCCACCTCCAAGACAGGATTTCTCTGTGTAGCTTTGACGGTCCTGGAACTTGCTCTGTAGACCAGGCTGGCCTCAGACTCACAGAGATCTGCCTGCCTCTGCTCCTGAGTGCTGGGATTAAAGTCATTCACCAGCATTCCTGGCAAGCTTTGTATTATCTTAGTAGCAGGCTGAGAGCATGCAGCTCACTGGAAGCATGCAAATAGAAAAGCTGATGGATAGTTTACAAAGCTTAGAGAGTATCTCACTGTTTCTTGGAGGGAGAGCTTCTGATACAGGTAGGTAGTAAAAATTTTCTAAAGTGTTTTCTAGCTTTAAAAAAATGAAAGACAGCATCTTACCATATAGACCTTGCTGGCTTCCAACTTCTGATCCAGCTGCTCAAACCTCCGCAGTGCTGGGACGCAGGTGTTCCCCACCACACCCTGCTCGCATGTCCCATTTTAAAGTCTTTTAATGGCTATGTATATGGACTGTATAGAAAAAAAGCATATTTTCTGAAAAAATACGATACACTTATCCCCCCCCCCCCATTTGAGAGGTGGAGGTAAAGAGACATTAATATTCCTTGGGGAAGAGGAATGGAATAAAAGATGGTTTATCATTTAAGCATATGTTCAGTACAGGTGCTGTGTGTTTGATGTGAGCAAAGATGGGGGGGAGCAAGTTTGGGCTGGGGATCTAACTTTCTTGGTAGAGTACTTGCCCAACATGCAGGACCCTGGTTCCATCCCCAGCCTTGCATCAGCCACGCAGGGTGGTGCACACCAGAGTTCCAGCACTCAGGGGTGGAGACAGGAGGATCAGAAGTTCAGGGTCATCCTTGACTTTCACAGCAAGTTCAGTAACCTGGATTACATAAGACCTTATCTTAAACAAAGACTAAGGCCTAGCAAGAGGGTCACTGGGTGAAAGTTCATCCCATCAAGCTTGACAGCAAGTTTGGTCCCTGGTCCTCGTGTACTACAAGGAGAGTGCTGACTCCTTTTAAGTCCTCTGACCTCCCCATGTATACTGGAGAATGAGTGGGCCCTACACACACACACACACACACACACACACGCACATACTTGCACGCACACACACACACTAACAAAATGAAGGTAGTTTAAAAAAAACAAACAAAAAAGATGAAGAAAAAGAAAAAAAGATAATTTGGAATTTTGAGCTAAGCATGGAAGATTGAAGGCATGAAGTTATCTCTTTTTCTTCCCCAAATCTCATTAAATCAATGAGTAACAATATACATTGGAGCAGAAATTATAAGGAGAGATGCCAGAAAATATTAGAAGGTTAAAAGAAGACAGAAGCCAGTTTGGTGACACACCCCTATAGTCCTAGCACTTTATAGGTGGCAACAGAATTATCTCAAAACCAAACAAACCCAACTACCACAAAGATCCTCCATGTGATGTGTGGTCTTCCTAGCTTTGTTCTTAGAAAACACATCCAAACATACAAACACATCCATACATAGGTTTCTATACAAACGTCCTGCCATGGGTTGGGGGCGGGGTGGGGGGTTATTTGAAATGACTTCAGGGAAAAGTCAGCTTGCTATGACGTTGTCTTCTGGTGAAACTCAGTAGATGATAAACTCTACTCATGCTCAGAAAGCTTCCTTTAAACTTAAAAACGTGTGTGTGTGTGTGTGTGTGTGTGTGTGTGTGTGAGAGAGAGAGAGAGAGAGAGAGAGAGAGAGAGAGAGAGAGAGAGAGAGAGCACTCAGATGACAACTTTACAAAGTTGATTTTGCCCTTCCATCTTTTTTGTGGGTTGTGGGGAGGCTAGGTCACCAGGCTTGTGTGACCTACTGAGCCATCTTGCCAGCCCCGTTCATACTTCTTGTAAATTAGTTGTTGGTACCCAGAGCATGCCAGGAAAATGCTTTAACACTGAGACAAGATCTTAGGTTTTGAAGATAGCCTGCACTACATAAAAAAATCTTGTCTCAAACAAACAAACAAACAAACCCAACAGCAAACAAACAAACCAACAGATAAAACACACTGACATACATACTAAAGTTGAGTGGGAAGTATTAATGTGAGTATATGAGATTTTAAAAATACTTTTAGTTTTGTCTCTCCAAGACACCTAGAAACAGTAACCATATCAGTTGTATTCTTGATGTGAAGACTGAGGTCTTGAAATACCTTTTATTTTTTCCAGAGAAAGTATCTTATTTATCCCATTCAGGCCTCAAACTCTGTAGCTGAGGATGACTTTGAACTTCAAACCTTCCTGCCTCTACCTCCTGAATATTCAGATTACAGGCGTGTGCTGTCGTGTCCTGTTTATGTGGTCCTGGAGATAGAACCCAGGGCTTCATGCGCGTTAGATACTCTGCCAAGTGAATTATCCCTCCAGTACCCTAGCCCTTGAAATATCTTTTCTATTAAGAGGACTGGTTGACTGGAGGAATTGCAAAATCTAGGTGAGGTAAGAAATGATTAAGATAGGTTTGGAGAATTTTGTCATAATTGTGAAGAAATCAGGGCCCACTTGGGTTATGTCAAGAGTCAGGTGCCAACTTGAAAAAGTTCCCAGTGACCAAAGCTGGGACAGTTTGAACTCTCTGTGTGTGTGTGTATGTGTGTGTGTGTGTGTGTGTGTGTGTGTGTGTGTGTGTGTGTGTGTGTGTGCAAGAGAGAGAGAGAGGCTGGAGGACCTCAGGGGGTATGCCTCAGATTTTGTCTGCCTTGTTCTTTCATGATGGAGCTTCTCCTTTGTCTCTGACTCCCTAGGTAGGTTGGTAGCTGCCCAGGGAGGCCCTGTGATCTGTCTCCGCTTACCCTAGGTATGGAATCGTAGGTAGGCGGACTACACCGGGGATTTTTAAGTGTGTTCTCACACGCAAGGCAAGCATTTTACCAGCCACTTCCCCAGTCCAACCATTTGACCTTTAAACATAATAATGGTTTTGATTAAAGCCCATTACTTTTGTCTCCAAATAATTCATTTATATCTTAAAAGCAAATCTTTGTAGGACATTAGTGAACCTGTTTGTTCTCTTTTAAACTGGCAAATAAAAGGAACCAGTCATCTAGTTGTGGTTATTACCAATGATAAAATTCAAGTTCCTAGGAGAAAATCGGGAATCCTGATAGGAAATTATATAATATCAAATTTGGAAGAAGTGTGTAACTTACAGAATTACTGTTTTGTTTGTTTTTTGAGACAAGGTCACTCTACCCGGCCCCAGCTGTCCTACAACTGATTTTGTAGATCAGACTGGCCTTGAACTCACAGAGGTCTGCCTACTTCTTGCTCCTGAGTGCTGGGACTGAAGCATGAGCTACCACACCTAGCTAGAATTACTCATTGTTTTTAGTTTTATTATGCGTTGAGACAGGATCTTATGTAGTCTCAGGCTGCCCTCAAACGCCCTGTGTAACAGAAGATAACTCTCCAATTCTTGACCCTCTTCCCTCCACTTCCTGAGTGCTAGGATTGCATCTGTGAGCCCCTACACATGTTTTATACAGTGCTGGGGGAGTCAAACCCAGAACTTTTTGCATGCTAAGCAAGCATTCTGTCTGCTGAGATACAGTCTCAGCCTTGGAACCACCGTTTTCTAGATGACCAGTGGATAATGTTTGTTCCGAAAGACACATTTGTTAAATAATCGAGTCATTCGTTTATGGATCCACTGATTGGATCAATAAAGACTTGAGATTTGTCTATATGTGTGTGTGTGTGTGTGTGTGTGTGTGTGTGTGTAAACTCTCTCCTGTTACCTTGTGGGACCTGGGGACTGAATTCACATCAGGTCTTTGAACTAGTGCTTTTAATACCAAGCCACCTCACAGACTTTTCCCTTCCTTTTCCCATTTGTTGACATATAGTCTCTCCACTTTGCCCAGGCTGGCCCCAAACTTCTTGGGCTCAAGTGATCCTGCTGCCTCAACCTTCCTTGTTGCTGAGATTATAGGCACTCATCACCATGCTTGGGTCAAAGCACAAGATTTTTTATAACACCTTACGAATTTCCACATTAAAATTATTTCTACCTGTTGAGGTTTTACTTAGTATTAAAAAGAAATATCCATGGCAGGGGTTGTAGCTCAATGGTAGAATGTTTACCTACCACATCTCAAGACCCTGTTTGTTGTTGTTTTTTGTATTTGTTTGGCTTTTGTTTTGTTTTGTTTTTCCAGACAGAGTTTCTCTGTAGACTTTGGAGCCTGTCCTAGAACTTGCTCTGTTGACCAGGCTGGCCTTGAACTCACAGAGATCTGCCTGTACCTGCCTCCTGAGGGCTAGGATTAAAGGTGTGGACCACCACCACCCAGTGACATTTTTGTTTTTTGAGGCAGGGCCTCATTCTATAGCCTTCACTAGCCTGAAACTTGCTACGACTTGACTGGCCTAGAACTCACAGAAATCTGCCTGCCTCTTCTCTGCACCTGAGTGCTGGGATCAAAGGTGTGTGCCACTATGGTTGGCCAGGCTTTGGGTTTAATTCCTAGCACCATTTGAAGAAAGGATTAGAAAGAAAGAATAGGGCTGGGGAGAAACCTCAATGGTCAAAGTGTTCACAAATCTGGATTGCTAGAACCCATGTAATTACCAGGTAGGTGGCCAAGCTGTAAGTCCAGCATCGGAGTGCAGAGATGGGATCCCCAGAGCAAGCTGCTGCAGAATTATTCAGGTTGAAAACTCTGGGTTTGAGGGAATGATTCTGCCTTGATGACTAAGGTGGATAACCACAGCAGAATGAATCTCAATGCCAGCCTTGGGCCTTCATGTGTATGTGTGCAATGCCTGTGTGCCATGCCAGTGCAATCTGGATAGCTGAGATGGGGGGGGGGTGCTGGGATTGAGTCATGGAGCCTTCTTTTCAGGTGGAAGAACAGCAACCTTTATTTTTCCCTGAGCTAAAGACTTTTATACCTCTACTGCTTCTTGTGGAAAACCACCGGCCAGAAAGAACAAAACATCCTTGTCAATTACAGACCACAAGGAAGTTCTGCTGTCAGTCAGGGGGAGTGAGGGCAGCTGGATCACAGCAACTCCCCCTGTTTTATTTTATAAAATAAATGGTGCCTGTCTTGTTACTTTGGGTAGAATACCTTGCCTGTCGTGGGGATTAGCCCTCTAATATTCCCTGTCTTAAGTGGCATCCTGCCTCCAATTATTGCCCGTCCGTGGCTACCCAGACACATAGCCCTAAACCAAGTATCCCCAGGATTGACAGCGCCAACGAGCCAGACCAGCGCTGCAACCATCTAGCGTGCACTAACTGGGTGGTAGAATTAACAAAAGCAGTATTCCAAACCCCTGTCATGACGGTTGAGTTCCATAACAGTAGCGGAAGCATGCAATACAGTGCCAGGAGTAATGCAAATAACATGATAAAAGCTAGAACATGTAAGCTGTTGAAAAGCCCAAAGATAGTCCACTTCTCCTGAACCAGAGCCACTTGTTGGTTCAAGGCCCATATTTGTCTGGGAGAGAGCAATTCTGGCAGCAGTAGCTGCGGTGGCAGATATAGCAATAACAGCAATCACAGCTGCGGTGATTCCAAGGTCTCTCTTCTGCCAATCTTCTATGGTCCAGCACTTGTTGCCATATTTACTGATACTCCTGACACTGCCATGGCGTCCCCCAGGCTGGGCACCGACTGGGCCAGGGCAACATGCCTTTCACCACAGCCACCTATCAAAGCTGTGTTCCAGCTGCCTTCTGACATGGAGCGGAGCAGAACTCAGGGAAGCAGGCTCGCTGCTCTGGAACCATTGACGGGACCTCACTTTAACAATCCTTTAGGGAATTTGCGTGTTGTCATCCTGTCTGGCTACTTCCTGCTGAGTGAGGTACTGCATTCTTGGGGGTATTTTACATCAACATTTCAGGGGCTCTCGGTGAATCAAACCACATAAATTTGCAATGAATCCACAGGTTCTCATCCTCTGTGGAGACAAAAGCAGAACCTCTTTTCCAAAGCATCAAATCCTTAGGCCCATATTTTAAAGTCAAAATACCTTCCTTAGCAGTTCCCAGAATCAAATGTCTTTCTCCAGTCCAGAACACAAAAGTCAACACAATCAACATAATAACATACATCTGTACATACTCTATCTTTTTGAGGCCCTCAATTCATCCTCCTGCCTCCTCTTTATTACTTCCCTACTGGTCAGTCTTCCAGAGGGCATCCCTCAGAGCATCTCTGGGGATGAAGAAACATATACTCCTTTTAATCTGACTTGGCTTGTTCCCAATCTGGAACATTTAAGCCCCCTCTCGTAATAAACCAGGGGCTAACTTGAGCTATTGTTTGTACAAAATCTTCGGCTGTCTTCCTTGTTACTTCCATGCCTTGTTGCTTTAAGAGTTTCAGTTACTGGGCTGGAGAGATGGCTCAGTGGTTAAGAGCATTGCCTGCTCTTCCAAAGGTCCTGAGTTCAATTTCCGGCAACCACATGGTGGCTCACAACCATCTGTAATGAGGTCTGGTGCCCTCTTCTGGCCTGCGCGCATACACACAGACAGAATATTGTATACATAATAAATAAATATTAAAAAAAAAGAGTTTCAGTTACTTTTTGAGGCCTTCAGTTCACCCTTCCGCCTCTTCTTTAAACTTGCTAGTCTTTTGGAGGGTGTCCCTCAGAGTATCTCTGGGGATGAAAAAAAAACACATTACCTTCCCCAATACGCTCCTTGATTTAACCAGCAGACGGAGCTACCCTGTTCACGTATCCCCACTTTCCAGATCTTGGTGGGACTTCCTCTTGCCCGTCTGGGGCAGCCTGGATAGCTGAGACTGGCGTGTGTATGTGTGTGTGTGTGTGCCAGGATTGAGACATGGAGGCTTCTTTTCAGGTGGAAGAACAGCAACCTTTATTTTGCCCAGAGCTAAAGCAGAAAGAACACAAACATCCTTGTCAATTACAGACCACAAGGAAGTTCTGCTATCAGTCGGGGAGTGAGGGCAGCCAGATCACAACACCTGTGCACATGCATAGTGCACACGGACATGGAAAAAAGGAATATTTAAATTTATCTAATTGTCTATCTGTGCCAGGTTAGATTTATTTCATGGACTTCAACCAAAGCAATGTAAAACCGGAGATTAACCTGAAGATATGAGCAAGTATCAGATATGACTCTGTCTCTTGGCAAGCCAGATTTTAACAGGAAGAGCAGCAGTGTGGGGCCTGTGTGATGGCTCAGCGGGTGCTTGCCGCCATGCCTGATGACCTGAGTGTATATGGTGGAGGAGAGAACCTCTTCTTCTAAGTTGTCCTCTCTGCACACTAAATAAATGGAAAGTTTTCTTATTTTGTCTCCTACATTGGTCTTTGCCAAATTATTCAGTACTTAATGGTGCTAGTGTTATTGCCTATTTTGTATTATATTAGAAGCTCCCCAAGGACTGGATGTTTTAATGTTCAAGGTAAAGGAACATGGTGGATAAGAGAGAGAGAGAGAGAGAGAGAGAGAGAGAGAGAGAGAGAGAGAGAACCCTATGTGTGAAGATCAGAGAATGACGTTTGGGACTCCATTCTTTCCTTCCACGCTGGGTTCTGAGGCTTGAACCTCAGATTCTCAGATTTGTACAGGAAATGTTTCACTTGCTGCCCTGTTTTTTTTTTGGGGGGGGGATGTAGCAAGCTTCCTGCTATGATTACAGGCCTTGGCCACCATACCTGGTTACTCTACCCACTTAGCCCAGTACAGCAGGTTTTTTTTTTTGAATGAATAACTGAATGAATTTCTGTGGTACTGTTGTAAAACGAAAGTCTATACCTGTTTTTATTTATCATTCTTTCTTTTGTATTCTAGTTCATAAAGCCTGGAAGTGGGAATTTAATAGATTATCCTGATATGGCAAAGGAAGCAGGTAACAGAAAAATGTTTTCGAACATTGAATAGCTTATTGTGTGGTCTGTGCTTATTCCATGTGTGGAGCAGCCTTGCAAGCACAGAAAGAAACCCAGTCGTGGGGGAGAACTCCATGGAGCTTGTCTGGGTGTGGTGGACAGAGAAGGAAAAGATACATGGACATGTTTAGCCGCCATATAGCTAGAGCAGAAGGCATCATACACTTTCCTGTGCTATTAAGCTGTGGGTTGGGATGGTGTCAACTTTGCCAGCTTGGCACAGCCTAGAATCATCTGAAAAGGGAGTCTCATCTGAGGGATTGTCCAGGTCAGATTGGCCCATGGGCGTGTCTGTAGGGGATTGACAGTAACAGATGTAGGAAAGCTCAGCCCACTGTGGGTGACACCATTCCTTGGGCAAGTGGTTCAGGGTTGTGTGAGTTACGCATGAGCTTGTGAGCAAGACAGAAAGGGAGCCAGTCAGCAGTGGTTTCCCTCAGTGGTAGACTGCGAAGTGAGGTGCAAGCCAAATGAGCCCTGTCCTTCCCGAAGTTGCTTCTCGTCACAGCAACAGACAACAGCTAGGACAGATGGCAAAGGCAGCTGGGGAAAGGAAAGTAGGGCCATTGTTTTGGTTTCTGTTCTCTTACTATGCAGAGATACCGTGACTAAGGCAATTTAGAAAAGAAAACATTTAATTGGGGACTTGCTTGCAGTTTCAGAGGGTGAGTCCACCGCATCATAGTGGGGAACACTGCAGCAGACAGGCTCTGGAGCAGCAGCTGAGGGCTTTCATCCTGATCCCCAGACAGCAGGCAGGAAGAGAGCTAGCTGAGCTTTTGAAGCCTTAGAGCCCACCCCTAGTGACACACCTCCTCAGGCATGGTCATATTCTCAAATCCTTCCTAAGCAGTTCACTAACTGGGAACCAAATATTCAAATTCATGAGCCTTTGGGGCCATTCTTGTTCAAACCACCACAACTGCTAAGCAGATGCTGTAATTCTGATGTGTGTTCCCTGTAGTTATAACAAACCAGGGTTTTCCTTTCCTAGGGAAGGGATGCTTACATTTAAGATGTAGCTTGATGCCTATATGATGGTTTTACCTCTCTTCATTTTTTTTAAAAATATTTATTTATTTGTTATGTATACAATATTCTGTGTGTATGCCTTACAGGCCAGAAGAGGGCACCAGACCTTATTACAGATGGTTGTGAGCCACCATGTGGTTGCTGGGAATTGAACTCAGGACCTTTGGAAGAGCAGGCAATACTCTTAATCACTGAGCCATCTCTCCAGCCCACCTACCTGGAGAATTTTTTTTCCATCACTAGGCTGAGGCATACCTACATGAAACGATATACTTTGTTATTGTTTATTCTAGTGAGAACTAGTACTGGAAAGACTTGGATAAACAACACTTAGGAGCAGGAACTCAAAGACATGGCTTCACATGCAGGGCCCCCTAGTCTAGAAACATTTGGTGTTCATCAGCTGCCTGTGTTCCCCCAGAGAGACCTACATCATTTTCTTTCTTTTTCTCAGAAAGGGACAAATTGGGAACTCTTTGCACTGTTAAAATAACTAGATAAATGTCAACTCAAGAATGGTAGGAAAGGAAAGAGGTGGAGTGGTTGGGGAGTCATCGTGAGCTTAAGTTCCTGTTGATTCGGAGTTGATTATAGGCCATCCTGGGCTGCATGAGAATAGAGACTCTTAGAATTTGTGTTTATTTTGGGGTGCAGTTAGGACAGAAGACACCAAAAGGAAGATAGAGAAAAGTGGTGCAGTAGCGTGGAGGAGGAAGGGGGGCTCTAAGCTGATGTGGTGGTGACTTTGTTGTTTGAACCAAACAGACAATAAAGAAATCAGTGGCGTCTGAAGGAACTCTCACTGAATTTGCCTTACCTGAAGCCACTTTGTCAAGTGCTTTTTGATGAACTCCTCTTGTTTTTCCAGGCCTGAAGGCATTGGCAGATGCCCAGATTCCTTATTCCGCTGTGGAGCAGGCATGCGTTGGTTACGTGTACGGTATGTAATAAACAGAATGCTCTAAAATTATGCACATTAATTTGGTAACAAATTCATCATGAATGTTAAACCTCAGGAGTGTGCTGGCTCCGAGTCATTGTTCCTGGCTTTGTGGTATTAAAACAGGAGACAGATTAAAATACCAATTTTGGGAGTTGGCAATATGACTCAGTTGGTAAAAGCTTTTTCACAGCACTTAAAAAATATTTCTTAGAGAAATCCTGTCTCTAAAAAAACCAAAAAAAAAAATATTTCTTAGCTGGCCGTGGTGGCGCATGCTTTTTATCCCAACTCTTGGGAGGCAGAGGCAGGCGGATCTCTGTAATTTCAAGGCCAGCCTGCTTTACTGAGCTAATTCCAGGACTAGTTCCAAAGCTATACAGAGAAGCCCTGTCTTGAAAAAATGAAAACAAACAAACAAAAACAACAACAACCCCCCAAAAAACTAAGTAAACAAAACAAAAACAAAACCCCATAAAACAACAAGCAAGCAAGCAAACAAACAAAAATTTTAGTTGGGCATGGTGGTGCATGCCCATAATCTCAATGCTTGAGAGGCTGAGGCAGGTGGATGTCTGTGAGTTCCCAGCAGCCTAGTCTACCTAATGAGTTCCAGGACAGCCAGAATTATATATTGAGACCCTGTCTGTTCCAGCATTCCTGCCTTTGTGGGCCATGTTATTTGTGAGGGAAAGTCATGTTTGTATTCAGTGCGGGTCACTTTTTTATGTAAGCCTGGGCACATATAGAACCTTAGTGATAAAAGATTTTTTTTTGAGATAGGGTCTCATGCAGCCCAGGCTGGCCTGAAATTCAAAGATGGTTTTGAACCTCTGATCCTATTGCCCGTATCTACTGAGTGATGGAATAATGGGAGTGCCCCACCCCCTACCTGATGTACGTAGTGCTGGGCATTGAACCCAGATTCTTTGCATTTTAGGCACACACTCTCGTAACTCAGCTACATTCTTAGCCACAAAGCTCCATGAAGGTTTTTTTGGATGCAGTTTTCACATTATTGGCATGGTGGTTTCTAACCTGTAGACTTCAGCAATTCTTCCACTTTAGCCTCCTAGGTAGCCAACACAGTCTCTGCTACCGTGCATGGTTTAAATTGTGGAATGTTTATATGAAATAAATGGTGACATTTAATCATATTGTGATGGCCTTTAACAACTTATGTGTGAGAATCAAGTGTCGATGAACCATCATTTCCTTTATCACACAACTCTGTGTGTGTTACTGGATGTGGTTGTTTGAAAGAAAATGGTCCCCAAAGGGAGTGGCACCATTAGGAGGTGTGGCTTTGTTAGAGAAGTGTGTCACTGTGGAGGTGGGCTTTTGAGGTCTCCTATGCTCAACATACCTCCCAGTGAAACAGTCTACTTCCTGTTGCCTGCAAGATGTAGGACTCTCAACTACTTCTCCAGGACCATGTCTGCCTGCATGCTACCATGTCTGACCATGATGGTAATGAACTAAACCTCTGAAACCGTAAACCTCAATTAATGTTTTCCTTTATAAGAGTTGTCATGGTTGCAGTTTCTCTTCACAGCAATAGAAACCCTCACTAAGTCACCTGGCTATTTATTTCCTTCTCCACCTCTGTATCATATAAAGAAAGTGTAAGCTGCAAGGTTGTGATCAAGGACACAGTATAGCAAGTACCAGGGTGCAGGTTCCCATCCTGGCTGAAACAGAAGGAGACAGGAAGAGGAAGCCGTCAAAAGTGCATGCTTCTTTACTGCCCTGTGCGATGTTCAGGCCTGGAACCTGAGCTTTCAAGAGGCTGACAGGAGACCTGTTGTGAATACTGGGCTATCCTGAGCTACATGAAATACTGTCTCAAAAAAAAAAGGAAAGAAAATGCACATAAACATTTGCTGTGACCACTTTTTATGTTTGCACAATAGGAGATAGTGCTGTGCTGTTTCTGACCCAGGTCATTGTGCATCACTGGCCTGCCTGTGTAGGACGCTAGGGTCAGCAATAGCAGTGAGAGAATTATCACAAGGGCATGCTGTGTCACAGCTCTGTGCTTTCTGTGCTGTGGGTGTTAAAGTTCTTAAGTGTTTTTCTGCAGGTGACTCCACCTGCGGGCAGAGGGCTGTCTATCACGGTTTGGGACTGACTGGCATTCCTATAGTTAATGTCAACAATAACTGCGCTACTGGTTCTACGGCTTTGTTTATGGCCCGGCAACTAATTCAAGGAGGTAAGGCGTGTTTGCTTATTATTATTATTTTTAAGGTTGTAGTTTATTTTGTGTATGGGTGTTTTGCCTGTTTATATATCTGTGCACCACATGCTGTGACCACAGAGCCAAAAGAGAGCATCAAGTTTCCTGGAGTTACAGATGGTTGTGAGGCCCTTAACCACTGAGATGTCTCTCCAGCCCCAAATGTTTGCTTATTGCTCTAATGTTCCTTTAATTTTTTTTCTAAAATGTGTTTGTTTGTGTGTCTGTGTCTGAACTCACAAAGGCACATGCATTGAGGCCAGAGGACAACTTATAGAAATTGGTTTTCTTCTTCCACCATGTGGTTTCTGGGGAATGGACTCAGGTTGTCAGGCTTGGTGGCAAGTCCCTTCACCTGCGGAGCCATCTTCCTGGTCCTTGTTTCTTGTCCTTAAATAACTAAGGGGTTAATGCCCCCTTTTAATCACTTCGCTGAGTTGCCACCAGAGAGAGATTGCTTTATAACATACACTAACATATTGCTTTTAAAAAGAACCTTTTATTATTTGTTTTTGCGGTATTGACAATGAAACCAAGGGCCTTGAGGACGCCAGGCAGACACTGTACCGCTAAGCAGTATTCCCAGTGCCTCCCAAAGGCTTTATTGAAATCAAGTTCCCGAATCATGAAGTTTACTCTGACGAGGTGGTGGTCATATGCGCAGCCTTCATTTCATCACCTGTAATGAAAACCTTGTTTCAGGTAGTAAGATCCCAGCTCCAGAGCATCGGCAGCTGGCAATCCTTGCTTCTTGCCCACCGTGGGCCCTCACTCCTACCACCTGCTGTCGGTCTCTGCAAACTCACCTGTTCCTATCGATGGCATCATGCAATACACGGCCTTTTGTCACTGCTTTCACTCAATTTGTTGTTTAAAAGTTCATTCTTAGGGCACGTGTCAGTATCTTATCACCGTTTCTGGCCAAATAATATTCTACTTCATGGCTAAGCTGTGTCTTATCTGTGTGTTCATCTTTTGATGGACATTATTGTTTATTTTTTTTTGGCTGTTCTGAATAACGATCCCATAAGCAGTGTTATTTGTGCACAGTTTTTTTTTGCTAGCCAAATATTTTCATGTGCGCATGTCTATGTTTATATCTATATAAACTATATGTTCATCTGTATCATAGTCTCTGTTTCCAAATATACTGGGCCTTTTTATTGGACCCTCTTCTAGTCCACCGATCTGATAATTGTTCCACTGCCTAGGGCTCTGAATTTTGTAGCTTGTAATCTTACTGCATAAGCTGGTGCCCTTCAACCTCTTCTGGGGCTATGCCATCATATTGTTTGATAAAGTTGATGCCCCTCTCTCTCCTTTCTTGTTCTCTTTCTCTCTCCATCCTCCCTCTCTACCTCCTCGCTATCTTTTTGTCTCTCCCTCCTTTTCTCTCTCTCTCCCTCTCTCTCTCTGCTGGTCAAGTGCACTCTCCAGCAGTTCTTTCTTGTCATCTCTTGTTCTTCACTTGCACTTTAATATAATTTTTCACATGTCCTCTCCCTCAAGCAATTCTTTTGAGATTTTATTTGGAAACCCCTTTAAATTTTAATTAAAATCATAATTAAATTTAACATATTTTAAAAAATTACAGTAGCTTATTTTTTTTATCTTATATTATGTGTATGGGTGTTTTGTCTGCCCGTATGTTTGTGTACCAGGTGCATGACCAGGTGCATGGCTGGTGCCCATGGAGGCCAGAAAAGGTGTTGTATCTCCTGGAACTGGAATTACAGATGGTTGTGAGCCACCATGTGGGTGCTGGGAATTGAACCTGGATCCTCAGTGTTCTTAACTGCTGAGCCATCTCCCCAGCTGCTGTAAATAGCTTTTTAAAAAAGTTCATTATATATACAGTTTCTGCCTGCATGTATGCCTGTAGGCCAGAAGAGGGTACCAGATCTCATTACAGATTATTTGTGAACATGTGGTTGTGGGAATTGAACTCAGGACCTCTGGAAGAACAGCCAGTGCTCTTAACCACTGAGCCATCTCTCCAGCCCCTGCTTTTTATGTTTGTTTTTTTTTCACTGAAACATTTCACACTAAAGGAAAATTTTGTTAGTATGATGAGATTCAGGGAAGGAATTAAGCACTGTCTTGATTTTCTCAGTAGGGAAAGGTATGTGCCATCAAGCCCAACAACCCGAGTTTGGTTCCTGGAACACACATATGCACTGCTCAAGCTAACACAATAAGTGTGAAAAATAATTGTCACTGTCATTTTTAAGTTATTAAACCCGAGGGGCTGAGAGACGACTGGGTAAAATGTTAGCTCTCTGAGTGTAAGGGTCTGAGTACAGATCCCTGTCACCCATGTAGAAAATCCAGTCTTAAAGGTAGCCAAGCTCTACATAGTGATACCCTGTCCACAGGTATGGTGGCCTATACCAGCAATCCCAGTGCTGGGAGGTAGAGACAGCAGGGTCCCTGGAGCTTTCTCTCTACCTAGAATAGGCAAAGCAGTGAGCTGCAGGTTCAGAGGGAGATCTGTCTCAAAAGCAAGGTGGGGAGTGATTGAGGGAAACCCTTACTGTTGACTTCTGGCCTCATGTACACACTAGTATGCATATCTGCATGTGCACCATACACAAACATAAGTGTATACATATGCACAAATAAACAATTCTATAGGGTTATGGTATGCTGTTGACAGAGGTTTCTGTCCCATCCGGTCCCGCAGCCATTCAGTCCCAAAGAAACACACAGAGGTCTACATTAATTATAAATTGGTTGGCCTATTAGCTCAGGCTTCTTGTTAACTAATTTTTATATCTTAAATCAACCCATAATTCTTGTCTGTGTCAGCCACATGGCTTGGTACCTTTATCAGCAAGGCATTCTCATTTTGGTCTGAGTGACGACTGCAGACTGAGTCTTTCCTTTTCCCAGAATTCTTTCTTGTTGCCCAATTTCAACTTCTTGCCTGGTTGTCCCTCCTATGCTTCCTACCTGGCTACTGCCAATCAGTGTTTTATTAAAACAATACAGGGGACAGGGTACAAGACCATTTCATTGTCCCATAGTAATACGCATTTTTATTTCATGTAAATTATCTATCTTTCTATATTTTTTGGGGACACAATCTGTCTGTGTAGTCTTGGCTGTCCCAGAACTCACTCTTTAGACCAGGCTGATCTGGAACTCGCAGAGATCCCCCTGCCTCTGTCTCCCAAATGCTGGGATTAAAGGCGTGTGCCACCATACCCAGAGCAGATTGCTATTTAGATTGAGGTATTTAATTGAACATTTTGTTGAGTTCCTGGAAATTTGAAATTTCAATATAATTGCTTTTCCTTTTAAGGTGTGGCAGAATGTGTGTTGGCTCTTGGGTTTGAGAAGATGGAGAAGGGATCACTTGGAATGAAAGTGAGTCTCGTTTATTATTGTTTCGGTGTTTTAACACTGTGAGAAAACTGTCTATCTGACCATCATAGATCATGTTAGTAAGTAGCAGAGAACATGATTTGATGTTTTAAAAATACATATATTTTAAGATTTATTTGCTTTTGTTTCTTTGCACAAGCATGTGTGTGTGTGTGTGTGTGTGTGTGTGTGTGTGTGTGTGTTTCCATGCCATGTTGTGTGTGTCTGTATGCCTGCTCAGGATTTGGACTTATTGGGTCTCCCAGTGTGGATGCAGCTAACGGAGCCTGAGGTACTTGAGTTCTCTCAAGTGCTGAGCCTTCTCTCCAGCCCATGATTTGACAGTTTATTTGATTATTACGGACAAGCCTCAGCCTCTTTGTAGTTGAGGGTGCTCTTGAACTTCTAACTCTCTTCTCTGGGCAGGTTCCTTGGTATTTTAAGAAAAACAGTTTGTTGTTTCTGTGTGCCGCCCCTAGGTAGTTCTCTGTGGAGAAGCTCCTGTTCGGCCTCTGTTCCGTGTTTATCCCATATTACCTCCTTCAGATAACTTGGTACAACTATCTAGTTTTTGTAGGTTGCCATGCAGAAGCAACACTTCCTTCTAAGAGAAGTTTAGAGTTACTATTTTGAGCAGGAGGGGCTGCCAACTTGCTGACCTGAGGTTGACCCTGGGACACTTGTAGTAGAAAAAGAGAACTAGTTCCTACACACACACACACACACACACACACACACACACACACACACACCTTGATAATCTCATGTCCACACCCACCCACCCCACATACCAAATAAAGAAGCTTGTTAAAGACGGATGCTTTCTTACAGAGAGCATCCTTCACGGGAGTACACTTTGCTAGTAAGTAACTGAGGAATTGAATTTTAAATTTAATTTTAACTAATTTAAGCTTAAATGAATACTCTGTTCCATTACTGAAAAAGTTTTGAGTGTATTTGGGATAACTTGGGCCCATAAATCTGTTTTTACAACTGTCATTTCATGAAATCTAAATATAACGTGTATTGAATATTCCCAATGAAAATTTACTTCTAAGCCAGGTGGTGGTAGCACACGCCTTTAATCTCAGCACTTAGGAGGCAGAAACAGGCGGATCTTTGTGAGTTCGAGGCCTGCCTGGTCTATAAGAGCTAGTTCCAGGACAGGCTCCAAAGCTAAGAGAAACCCTGTCTTGGAAAACCAAATAAAAATAAATAAATAAATAAATAAATAAATAAATAAATAAATAAATGATTTACTTCTACATTGGGATGTGTCATAGGTGTAAAATATACACAGTTTTGTTGGTTTTGTTTTTTTTTTGTTGTTTTTTGTTTTTTTGAGATAGGATTTCTCTGTGTAGTCCTGGTTTTCTGGAATTCGCCTTTGTAGATCAGACTGGCTTGGAACTCAGAGAGATCACCTTGCCTCTGCCAAGGGCTGGGATTAAAGGCACACGATACCATGTCTGGTTTATACACACCATTCTGAAGACTTAATTTGATAAAAGAATATAACTCAGGACGCAAAGGCAGTTGGATCTCAGTGAGTGCGAAGCCAGCCTGGTTTACATAGTGAATTTCAGGATAGCTAAGAGCTCACCCTGTCTCAGAAAGTAAAATATCTCCTGTTTTTACATTGATTACTTGTTGAAATGAATATGAATATATAAAGCAAATAAGCTATATTTGAATTTTTCAGAATTATATGTGTGTATGTGTGTGCCTATTGAGGTGGCGTGGGGAATGGTTAGGTGTAGGTTTACCATGGCCTGCTTGGAAGTCAGAGGAAAGCTTACAGGAATCGCTTCGCTCCTTCCACTGTGAGGGTCCCGGGGATCAAACCCAGGTTGTTAGGCTTGGTGGCAAGTATCCTAGGATGCCACTTAAACAGATGAGCGATGGCGGGATGTGGAGAGATCTAGTCAGCAGGGCCACAACGGGAAGAGGAACAGATGTGAAGGATGCAGTCACCTCAAGTCCGTCTTCAGGGCGCTGCCAGGATCATTAGGTTTAAACGAGGGCAGAGGTACGCATAGTTAAACAGTCAGATCAGCGTGTAGCCCTGTCCGTTGTTATTGTAGCCTGCATCTGTCCTGTAGTGTGATCTCAAGGGGCTTCAAACACAGCCTTAACATTTTTTTGTTGCATTTACCCCTGTTCCCCCATGTATGTATATGTGTATGGGTGTGGGTGTGTACATGCCACGGTGCAGGTTTGGAAGTCAGGACAACCTCAGGCATAGGTCTTTCCTTCCACGGTGGGTTCCAGGGGTTGAACTCAGGCCGTCAGACCCCACGCTCCGCATCCTGATCGGCTGTGTTTCTGAACACAGTTACGCTCCTGCTTTCTCCTCATTCTCACTGTCTGTCTGCCCTGAGTGTTCTTTCCTCCAGCCCTTCCAGACCCACCTAAGCTCTGGACTGCTGTCCTGAACTCCAGCTTCCCACTCAGTGTTTCTGGTTTTATAGCATTATTATTTGCGTGGTAACTGAGTCTCACCATTTTCCTCTTTTCTCCCCTAATCTAAATGTCTGATGAGAAGAACCTTAAGCGACACACTCGTGCCTTTATTTCCTATGTCTTGAATAGTTACTGTTGAACAGTGGATAGTGAATGTTTGGTAAACATTTTTTTTTTTTAATTTACTGGGTGGCGCGATGGTTGGCAGTTAGGAGCACTGCCTGTTCTTCCAGAGACCTGCATCCGATTCCCAGCATCTTTATGGTGACTCACAGCTATCTGGGGCACCAGGCACACATGGTGCACAAGACATCCATGCAGCCAAAACACATATACAATAACAAAATATTTTTAAAACCTAGGAAAAAACTTAAATTCATGTGTATTTGTTTTATGTGTGTGTGTGTCCTTTTGAATGTCTTCTTCATCTGTCATGGCATGAAAGAGGAAGAAGTCAGAGGACAACTTGTAGGGAGTCGGTTCTCTTGTTCTACCACGTAGGTGCTGGGGATCACACTTAAAAGAATTAATAAGCCAAGCATGGTGGTCCCAGCACTGGGGAGGCAGAGGCAGTAGGTCCCTGTGAGTTCTAGGCCAGTCTGGTCTACAAAGCGAGGTCCAGAGCAGCCAGGGCTGTGTGGAGAGGCCCTTTCTCAAAACTAAAACAAAACCTGAGAGAAAGAAAAAATAATAAGCAAGGAAATATGTATATATTCTTGAGACAGAGTTGCATGGGTTCCAGACTGGCCTCTGACTCCTATATAACTAAGGCTGATTTTAAACTCTTGACCCTTCTGCCTCTACCTCCCGATTGTTGGCTTCTCATGTTTTCCTGTGACAAAGCATTTCTCAATGATTTTATTCACATAGACAATTTTTTTGTTTACTGTGTTCTCAAGATAGGAAAATGTCATTACAACAGCGTAAGTTGCAAGAAACAGTTTTATATTAGCTGCTCATTAAATTTTATTTTTTCTCTTTAAGTTTGGAGATCGGTCTAATCCACTTGACAAACATCTTAATGTCTTGATCAATAAGTATGGATTGTCTGCCCACCCAATTGCTCCACAGATGTTTGGGGGAGCTGGGAAGGAGCATATGGAAAAATATGGTATGTTAAAACAATCCTGTGTGTGTGTGTGTGTGTGTATGTGTGGGTCACACGACCCTTTCACAGGGATCACCTAAGAGCATCCTGCCTATCAGGATGCTTTTTAATGATTCATAACAGTTGCAAAGTAGCAATGAAATAATTTTATGGTTGGGGGTCACCACAACACGAGGAACTGTATTAAAGGGTTGCAGCATTAGGAAGGCTGAGAACCACTGCTTTAGAGGTTGGGTACGGTGACATACGCCTTTAATTCCTGCACAGAGGCAGTTGGATCTGCTTGAGTTCAGGCCGGCCTGGTCCACATAGGGAGTTCCAGGCCAGCCAAGGATACATAGTGAGAGCCTGCCTCAAAATAATGGCAACAGCACCACCCTTTGGGCTTATTACTAGTTATATTCGTATAGTAAGAAACAGCAGGTATTTGTTAAGGACGCGGGAGGGACTGGAAGATATAAGATACAAATAAAATAGTTTTTCTTTATTTTTAATGTGTGTGGGTGTTTTGCCTGTGTGTTAGTCTGTGCATCACGTGCATGCCTGGTGCCCTTGGAGAAGAGAAGAAGGCATCAGATCCCCTGGAATTGGAGCTATAGGTTGTTATCCTATACATGGTGCCGGGGTTTTAACCTGAATGTTAGGCAAGCATTCTACCAACAGAGCTACACCCCCAGCCCTTCCAGGAGCTCTTTTATGAGACACTAATCCTGTTCATGAAGGCCCTTCCTCCTAATACAAGCACCTTGGGGATTAGATTTCAACATGTGACTTTTGTTGGGGACATCAGCAGGCCGTTCACTACCTCCCTCCACAGGCCCCATCTGCCAGTCATTGAGGCCGGTTTCAACCTTAGAATTTAGGAGGGAGGATGATGTTAGAAATACCTTTGAGGTCCTTTGGTAATGTTACAGATGAGGGCTTAAGGTCTCATTGGGAAGTAGAGAGAGACCCTGGTGTATCCAGTTACTCCCTGTGGAGCCAGGAGGGTCGTCGTAAGTTGTTGATGTGTTTGTGTTTGCGGTGCTGCTCACACAGCCTCCACTTTCCCTTCTTCACAGCACTGAGGATTGAGTCCACCAAGCTTGGCTTTCAGTTTTGTTTTTGAAAACATAAAAGCACGCTTGTCTTAACTGATAATAGCAGAAAAACATGAATGCCATCTTGGTGATACCCTCTCTTCAGTTACGTTAAGCTTGGTCACACAGGCAGGCAGGGTAGAGGAACTCGGAACTGTTAGATGCTGCTAGTGGACGTGAAATGGGACTCTAGGAATGTCTCTCCCATGAGTGATCTCCTGACTTTACATGCCAGTGTGTGGAAGGTGTTTCTGTGTGTTTGATAGCATAGCACTGTGTTTAGTAGAGCACTGGGTTAAGTAATCAGCTTGGGTGGTTTTTAAATAATCTGTTCTAAGAATAAAGTTGTAAGGAGTTTCACAACAAATGTGACTGTTATACAGACCTTAAGTTTCCTTGCTTTCTAGATAGTGAAAGTGACCAGATTGTGGTTTTGTTTATTATTATTCTTTGTATGCACATGTGAGCGTGAGTGTGGGAGGACCACTTTTGGGAGTCAGTTCTCACACTCAACCGTGTCGAGGCAGGGTGTCTCTTCTTGCTTCTGCCCTGCACTGTGTACTGCAGCAGGCTGGCGGTCCTTGGGTTTGCAGGTGATTCTCCTGCCTCCGATTCTGCCCTGTGCTGTGTACTGCAGGCTAGCGGTCCTTGGCCTTGTAGGTGATTCTCCTGCCTCCGTCTCCAGTCTTTCGTGATTATAGATATGCTTCTGCATCTGGGTTTTTATCTAGGTTCTGCGTATCAAACTCAGGTCATGAGGCTTGCGTGGCAAGTTCTCAGATCCACAGAGTCATCTCCCTGGCCCATAATTGAAATTGTTCATGATTGTCAGTTGAGAGACTATCAGTTTTGAAGGATACTGTGATTCACTTTTAGACTTAGGGGCTTATAGAGTTGTTGATCTAGTACTTTTCTTTCCTTGCCTTTTTGTTTTTTGAGACAGGGTTTCTCTGTGTAGCCCTGGCTGTCCTGGAACTCACTCCGTAGACCAGGTTGGCCTCGAACTCAGAGATCCACCTGCCTCTGCCTCCTGAGTGCTGGGATTAAAGGTGTGCGCCACTATTGCAATTTTCATACTTGTTTTGAAATAATTTCAGACTTCATGACAGTGTTGCACAAAATAGTACAAAAAATTCCTAATATATATATTTTTCTTTATATTTGAGAGCAGACCAGGAGTAGACACCCCAGGTAGGAGGTGTCTGTGAGTTCAAGGCCAGCATGATTTGCATAGTGAGTTTTAAACTAACTAGGACTGCATAGTAAGACTCTGTTTTAAAAAAGAATAAATTACAGACTTTCACAGCTAACTTATAATAACCAAAATCAAGAAATGAATATAAAGTCAAGCATATCAATGTGTGTGTCTGAGCTGTTGTAGGGGAATTGCTTGAGGCCAGGCCTCCTAAGCCAGCTTGGAGACCATAGCAAGACCTCATCTTTCCCCACTTCAGGAAAAAAATTAGTTATGCTAACATGGTACTGTTACCCAGACTGCACGGCGTACTCGTATTTTCACCCATTTATCCCACAGATACCATTTCCTGGCTCCAAAGCTCCTCATGATTTTGTTGTTTACTTTTCTTTAAAAATTTAAAACATTTGCTGGGTGATGGTGACGAAGGCCTTTAGTCTCAGCATTTGGGAGGTGGATCTCTGAGGCCAGCCTGGTCTACAGAGCGAGTTCCAGGACAGGCTTTACATTTTTTTTTTTTTTTTTTTTTTTTTTTTTAGTTTTTCGAGACAGGGTTTCTCTGTAGCTTTAGAGGTTGTCCTGGAACTAGCTCTTGTAGACCAGGCTGGCCTCGAACTCACAGAGATCCACCTACCTCTGCCTCCCGAGTGCTGGGATTAAAGGCATGCGCCACCACCGCCCGGCTCAGGACAGGCTTTAAAGCTACACAGAGAAACCCTGTCTCAAAAAAACAAAAACAAAAGCAAAACCATAAACATAAACAAACAAATAAAATTTTACTTTGTATGTGCATGGCTGTTTGCGTGCATGTATGTCTGTGCGCCTCTTGCACAGAGACAAGAAGGGGGCTCTAGATCCCCTGAAACTGGAATTACAGATAGCCCAGATTACAGAATTGAACCCAGGTCCTCTGGAAGAGTAGCTGGTGCTCTTAACTGCTGAGCCACCCCTCTAGCCCCCTGTTGTTTATTTTTCAATGTTTTATATGTTTTTATTTTTCTGAGAGAGGGTCTTATACAGCACAGGCTGGCCTAGAACTTCTGATCCTCCTGCCCCAGTGTCTTAAGCACCTACATTATAGGTGTGTCCTCCCATGCCCTGCCATAACCCCTGCTCCCCATTTTGGTTATGTTCACCAAGTTTGATGTTAATTTCTTCTGGTTTTAAACTTAGTCTGCACTAGTTAGACCTTATTTGCCACACTGTAATCACATGGAAGGTTTTTTTTTTTTTTTTTTCTGAGACAGGGTTTCTCTGTAGCTTTTGGAGGCTGACCTGGAACTAGCTCTTGTAGACCAGGCTGGCCTCAAACTCACAGAGATCCGCCTGCCTCTGCCTCCCAAGTGCTGGGATTAAAGGCATACGCCACCACTGCCCAGTGGAAGTTTTTTTTCTTGTCTTTTCTTTTCTTTTTTTTTTTTTAATTTCTTGAGGTGCTGGGGATTCTGGGCCTAGGCTAGTCAAATGCCCATCACTGGGCCCTATCTCTCACTGGGCCCTAACCCACTGGCCCAGGATGTTATACTTGCCTCATAATTGGCTCATAAAAAGATGATTAATTTTCACTTTTAATGCCCTGCCACCATTTGTGGGGCACTGAGACTGCATGTAGAATTCTGTGTGATACTTTCTGAATTTTTTTTTGGTTGTCTGTGTTCGTTCTTTCTTTCTTTCTTTCTTTCTTTCTTTCTTTCTTTCTTTCTTTCTTTCTTTCTTTCTTTCTTTCTTCTTGTGACTGGCTTTCAGGCTGGCCTCAAACTCAGATCTGCCTGCCTCTGCCTCCCGAGTGCTGGGATTAAAGGTGTGTGCCACCACCGCCTGGCCCGTTCCTTCCTTGTCCTTTGTTCTTTACTCTTTCCTTTCTCCCCATCTCTTTCCCTTTTATTCCCTCCCTCCTTCCCCCTCCCCTCCCCTTTTCTTTTGAGACAAGGTTTAATGTAGCCCACCTAGTCTGGCCTCTAGTTCTTTTTGTTTTGTTTTGTATTTTTTTTTTTTGAGACAGGGCTTCTCTGTGTAGCTTTGGAACCTGTCCTGATACTCTCTCTCTGTAAACCAGTCTGGCCTCAAACTCACAGAGATCCTCCTGCCTCTGCCTCCCAAGCGCTGGGATTACCCGGCCTGGCCTCTAACTCTTAAAGTAGCTGAGGATGACCTTGAACTCCTGATCATCCCCCTGTCTCCTAAAGTGCTGGGATTACAGGCTTGTGTCACCACATCATTTTTTAAAAGATGTATTTATTTATTTATTAAGCGTTTATTTATTTATTATGTATAGTGTTCTACCTGCATGTATGCCTAGAGGGCACCAGACCTCATTACAGATGGTTGTGAGCCACCATGTGGTTCCTGGGAATTGAACTCAGGACCTCTGGAAGAACAGTCAGTGCTCTTAACCTCTGAGCCATCTCTCCAGCCCCACCACATCGTTTTTGTGGTGCTTTGGATTGAACTCAGGGTCTCCTGCATGCTAGATTCTTACCATCTGATCTACATCCTCAGCCTAATTTTCTGTATTTCTTGTAGGCTAAATATTCTATTTTCAATGGGTTCAATTTTAGTAAATCTCTATTTCTCCAAGAAATTACCATTTCACTTAGATTTTCAAGTCAGCTTGATTAGGACTCTAAAAAGTAATGTCTATTATTTATTGACTGATTTAAAGAATCATTTATAAAGTTTTTTTTTTTTTCTAGAGGCCTGGGAGGATGGCTCAGATAAGAGCACTTGCTTGCAAGCTTAAGGACTTGAGTTCAAATCCCTAGGACCCCACATGACACACAAATACAGTGTATACACACATGACACACAAATACAGCATACACACAAGACACACAAATACAGCATACACACATCACACACAAATACAGAGTATACACATCACACACAAATACAGTGTACACACACGACACACAAATACAGTGTACACACATCACACACAAATACAGCGTACACACCATGACACAAATACAGTGTACACACATGATACACAAATACAGCGTATACACACAAGACACACAAATACAGCATATACACATGACACACAAATACAGCGTACACACATGATACACAAATACAGCGTACACTCACGACACACAAATACAGCATACACACACGACACACAAATACAGCATACACACATCACACACAAATACAGCATACACACATGATACACAAATACAGCGTACACACATGATACACAAATACAGCGTATACACACAAGACACACAAATACAGCGTATACACACAAGACACAAATACAGCGTACACACATCACACACAAATACAGCATACATTACACACAAATACAGTGTACACACATGACACACAAATACAGCGTACACACATGACACACAAATACAGCATACACACACGACACACAAATACAGCATACACACATGCACATGCAAATAAATAAAAATTTAAAAATAAGTTCTTTATTTCTATTATAGAAACTTTTTTATCTGCGTGTTTACACCTGGGGAGGGCGCTGCTCTTGTCCCAGGATGGTTTGAGCGACCATAGGCTGCCATTAGCACCTCCTGTCTCCCCTCTGCACTGCTTTCCTTCAGGCTGCTCTTGTTACCCAAAGGTCTGTGGTTGGGTAACCACATTTGTGTGTGTGAGGTTTGGGCATCGCTGCTCTTCTGGTTTTGCTATTATATGGTACTGTTCACTCATGTTTTCCTTCTCGTTTGTGTTAGTTTTGGAGGCTATGGAGACTCCATTGGCCTTGGAAATCCTTATACTGGTGTGTTTTAAAACTCACGTGTTTTTTTTTTTTTTTAAGTTTTATATTACTTGGGATAGCTTAATAATTTTCTAGTCTAAATTTTGAAATAGTTGAATTTGGTTTTGTGTTGACAGGGTCTATCCTGTCGCCTGGGCTGGCCTGGAGCTCACTGTATAACCCAGGCTAGCCTGGACTTTCTGTAGTTCTCCCTGCTTCACTCTCTCTGGAGTGCTGAGATTACAGGCATGAACTTTGCTCTCTCTCTCTGGAGTGCTGAGATCACAGGCAGAGCCCCTCTCTCTCTCTCTCTCTCATGCTGAGATTACAGGCATGAACCACACTTTTTAGAATTTAACTTGACAGAGTCCGCGGCAGCCTTTTGTGGTTTTATAATTCGATTCTAGGGGATTGGAATCTTTTTATACTAAGTATATTCTTTGAACATCCAGAAACTTTTTTTTAAATATTTATTTATTTATTTTGTATACAATATTCTGTCTGTGTGTATATCTGCAGGCCAGAAGAGGGCACCAGACCTCATTACAGATGGTTGTGAGCCACCATGTGGTTGCCGGGAATTGAACTCAGGACCTTTGGAAGAGCAGGCAATGCTCTTAACCACTGAGCCATCTCTCCAGCCCATCCAGAAACTTTTTAAGGGGAACATTTTTTATGGGGTGGGGTGGGGATTCATGCGTTAAAGATGACCTTTGAATGCCTGATCTTAAGAAATCTGTGGTAAGTGATCAGCAGAATCCTCTTCTAGGGGATGATCTTTTCTGTGTGAAATTGGATTCTGTGGAAAGCCATAAAGCCCTGTATTAAGAACAAAATGAAACAAAAAACAACCAACCAAAAAAACCCAAACCCTATCAGAAACAACAGCAACAAATCCTCAAGTCTGTCTCCCTGAAGTTCTTTTTTTTTTCCAATAACTTATTTTTATTTCATTTACACTGGTGTTTTGCCTCCTTGTATGTCTGTGTGAGGGTGTCAGACCTTAGAGTTACAGACAGTTGTGAGCAGCCATGTGGGTGCTGGGAATTGAACCCAGGTCCTCTGGAAGAACAGCCAGTGCTCTTAACTGCTGAGCCATCCCTCCAGCCCCCTTCCTAGAGTTTCTACCCACAGTCTTTTTTTTTTTTTTTTTTTTTTTTGGATTTTCGAGACAGGGTTTCTCTGTAGCTTCTTGGTTCCTGTCCTGGAACTAGCTCTTGTAGACCAGGCTGGCCTCGAACTCACAGAGATCCGCCTGCCTCTGCCTCCCGAGTACTGGAATTAAAGGCGTGCGCCACCACCACCCGGCCCTCTACCCACAGTCTTTATTTTATTTTATTTTGAGACAGGATCTTATTGCATAGCCTTAGGTGACCTGGAATTTGAAGGTGTAAGACCTGGCTTCAAACTCATAGAACCTGCTGCTGTCTCCTGAGTACTGAGATTAAAGGCATAGGCCAGAGCATCTGCTGCTGTGTCCAGAGTACTGAGATTAAAGGCATAGGCCACAGCATCTGGCCCTGCTTATTTTATATTTTGAGACAGGGTTCAGTGTAGTCCAGGCTGGCCTTATATTTTGATCCTCTTTGCTCCCTCTTCCTGTGTGTTGGGATTACAGGTGTTTGGCAACACTCCTTGAAAACAGCGCAAGTCCTGTACTGTGCCCACAAACCTCTGATACACCACACCACTACAGCTCACCCAGTCTGTAGTTAAATAGAATCTGTTCAGTTGTTTCCTTTGCCCTGCTTGTTTGAGGTTAAAAATAGAACCGGAAGCCACCACTGGTGGCACAACCTTTAATCCCAGCACTCTGGAGGCAGAGGCAGATGGATCTCTGTGAGTTCCAAGCCAGCCAAAGGCTAAACCGTGAGACCCTGTTCTCAAAATACAAAACAAAACAAAAAAACCAAAGATCTGGAAAACATCTATGATTCACTGGCTGTAACTTTTCTAAAGACCCTTCTGCTAAAGCCGGGCGATGGTGGCACACGCCTTTAATCCCAGCACTCGGGAGACAGAGGTAGGTGGATCTCTGTGAGTTCGAGACCAGCCTGGTCTACAGAGCTAGTTCCAGGACAGGCTCCAAAGCCACAGAGAAACCCTGTCTCGAAAAAACAAAAACAAAAAACAAAACAAAAAAACAAAAACAAAAAAACCTTCTGCTGTATCATAAAGGTTTGGGGGTTGTTTGTCAGCTGTAGAGGACGTGACTCGTACACCCACTCTGGGGCTTGGGAATGTCTGGCAGGCACTGGGTCATTGCTGGCAATACTCTCCAGCTAAGCACTGTGGCTCCAGACTGTATTTCCTAGTTTTTGAAACTGAATCCTATTTGTACTAAATAGAAGACAGTTGGAAGTGTTTTTATCTCATATGTCTCTTGAGTCAATTTGTGAAATGCTCAGATTTAATTATAGCAAATCATATGAGTGATTGCTCTCTTTAACCCTGATACCTGGGCAAGAGAAACTATGGAATTATTCAGCAAAACACTGAGTTCCACTGTGACATTTGATAATGAGCTGAGGAAAACAACACACTGACTGATGTCTGCTTTCTCTGCAGGAACAAAAGTTGAACAGTTTGCAAAAATTGGATGGAAAAATCATAAACACTCAGTTAATAACCCGTAAGTACTTCAGAGCTATGACATGAAAATCTGGTCTCTCCTACTGTATAATATGCAGGTGTATACTTGGACAACAAATGCAAGATCTCAAAGATATTAGCTTGGATGTTTATTATTTTCTATAAAATAAAGGCTTGTGCTCAAAGCGTACATTGTCTGCTTTCCCATTCTAGTTCTTGGCTTATTTATACTTAAAATACCATCAAATCTTAATGGTTCTTTTTAAACTTATTTATGTTCTGAAGGTTGTTTGTTTGTTTGTTTTTGGAGAGGGAGGTCGAGTTTGAGAGAGTAGCCCTAGCTAGCCTCCAGTTTGTGGCAGTCCTTCTGCATCGAATGGTTTGTCCCACCTGGCTTTAATGATTCTTTTAAATAAGAATAACAGTGACAGATGCTAAAATATTTGCTTGGGGCGGATGGGGCAGGTTAGTGCTAGAGCTAGTGATTAGCTTGTATGAGGTTCTAGGTGCATTTCTTTGCACAGCCAAAAAGATTGTAAAATGCGTATTCATTTTATAGCTGAGATGAATTTCAGTCACTCTAGTGTTACTAACTTATTCTGGAAGAACAATATAATTATTTATATCCTAAAAGTAATCTGAAGAAAATGATATTGGATGTATTCAGATCTATTGTCCCTCAGCAATCTCTGAATGCTTAGTGGTGGTGCAGTGCCTGGTTCACAGCATGGACTCACTGTTTGCTGGGGGAAGTGGTCCACTGGGAACTGAACCGGTATCATAGAACCAGAGTCTCTGTAAAAACAATGCAAAACATGTTGGATCATTTCTTTGCCAGTAACACCATATCACAGATTGGATGAGTTAAAAAGAAAAGGAATTTATTTTGCCTTGTGGTTCTGAACATTGCAAGTCACAGAGTTCTCCATCTCTCAGTGGCCTTCTTTTCTTGGATAGGATTTTTCTGTGTATCCGTGGCTGTCCTGGAACTCACTCTGTAGACCAGACTGGCCTCCAACTCAGAGATCTGTCTGCCTCTGCCTCCCAAATGCTGGGATTAAAGATGTGCACCACCATGTCCATCTTGATAATGGCCTCTTACTGGCAGAAGTCTGAGAAGGTACAGGACATTGTATAGTGAGAGACTAGGGTCATGTGTGTAGATCTGTTTCTTCTGGTCTCTTGCGCTTCTTGTAAAGCCACCTGGACTCAATCACGAGGGCTCTTCCCTGAAGACCTTGTCTAATCCAGGTCACCTCCCAAGGCCCCACCTCTGAACCCCCCATAGTCAGATTAGTTCTTCCCGCCTTTTCTTCTCTTTCTCCCCCTGTCATCCTGAGAAATGACAACCTTGTTCTTATTTATTTCTTCCTCCTCCATTACAAACTCCTTGAGGGCAAGAGTCTTTTCTCATCTTCATATCCTTAGTGCTTAGCACAGAGGGAATCAGAAAATGATTTCTGAACTGTCTTTGCCACATTTACTAAATGTAAACCTTGACATGATAGGGGTGTTTTTGTCACACAAACCATTGCACGTTTGTCACACTTCACGCTGCTGTCAGCTTTCTTTGGGCATGCCCCGTTCTGTCTTCTTCCTTTTGTGTAGCTGTAACAAAAGCAGTTTAAGGGAGATGCTACCTTGTCTCACACACAGTTCCAGGCCCATCGTTGCAGAGACCTTAGAGCTGATCCCTTCGCGTTCATTCATCCCTTTCTGCCTTCCAACCTGAGGTGGAATGTGGTTGGCTGCTTTAAGCCTGCAGCCTTGACTTCTCTGCCGTGATGGATTACACCTGTGAGTTAGAGAAATCCTTTTCCCTCATTACTGCTGTCAGGTTATTTTATCATGGCTGCAGGAGAAGAAACTGAGACAGATTCCATCCCCAAGATCCAAGAGGCTTTTATAGAAAACCTAAGGCTATTGTGAAAGTCCTGGTGACTCCCATGGCTTATATGGTAAAGTCAGACTCCATTACCCTTTCCTCCTCTGTGGGGAGCATAAGGTTTTTGCACCCACAGAGCGCAGGGAAACCAGGAATTTTAAGCACCCAGGATTGCCGTGTCAAAGGGAAAGCTGTAGAACCTGTCTTTTCAGAAGGCCAGGAACTGGAGGTGAGAAAAACCCTGAAATCTGTGATACCTGTTGGGCCGTGATATATCAAAGTCCTACCACCAGAACGTGAGGTAGCTAGTGATCTAAAGGATCTCTACACTCCCTGTACAGCTAGGGGCTCCCCCAAGCGCCCACAACAAGGACCAGAGGTGGCTGATAGCCCAGACGACCTCTGTTTTATCTGTATGACCAAGACCGTGCCAGACCCTCCCTTAGACCCTTAAACTAATACAGGTAGTTTAGCTCTAGAACCCATCTTCTTGGAAGAAATGGCATCTGCCTTAAGTTGTTTCAACACAGTTATTGCCTCCTTGTGCACCAGGAATACGGTTACACCTGAAACCTTTTCCTAATTATATTGTGCTTAAGTATGCTGGCAATAAACTGCCTGGCATCAGACTTCCTAGAAGTTGATCCAGTCTGACAGGTGAGTCAGGCTGAACCGATTTTTCATTCTCACCTCGTTTCCCTGCCTGCCCTGACTCCTGCCAGGACCTCCTCACTTCTCTTTCTTCTTCCTCCTCCTCTTCTTTCTTCTTCTCTTCCACTTCTCTTCTCCCATTCTGTTCCTTTTTTTCTTTCTTCTTCTTCTTTTTTTTTTTTTTTTTTTTTTTTCAAGACAGGGTTTCTCTGTAGCTTTGGAGCCTGTCCTGGAACTAGCTCTTGTAGACCAGGCTGGCCTCCAACTCACAGAGATCTGCCTGCCTCTGCCTCCCCAGTGCTGGGATTAAAGGCGTGTGCCACCACTGCCCAGCTTCCCATTCTGCCCATTATGTTTCTAGCAGTGTACTTGGGACAGAGTTAGCATCAGAGGAGCTGGCAGTGATGCTGGCAGTGAGTAGCGGAGCTGAGGCCTGTAAAGCTGCGTACAACTGATCCCTTGCCCTTAGTCTCTGGAGAGCTGTAAGGGTCCTTCTGATTTTCTGGAATGTTGAGGAATTAACAACACTGCACTTTCCTGGCATTGGGACTTCAAAAGGCAGTTTTGGCTTCTTCTAGACTGAAGTAGGAGGATCAGGAGTACAAGGTCAGTCACACTCAGTTACGTATCTAGTTTGAGGCCAGCCTGGGTTCCATGAGATCCTACCTCCAAAAGAAAAAGCCAAACCAAACTCAACCCCTATTTTTGAGCATATTCCCACACAGTATAAGACTAGTGAAAGGCCGCGAGAAAGGGCCGGGGCTAGCCTACGCCACCTGCACCTTTGCACTTAGGTCTGATGGTTCCCTTGGTTGGCTCCACTCCAATGTCCTACAGGTTCTTCAGAGTCTACTCTAAATTTGTCACCTCCCTCGACCCTGGATTTCCTTCCTTGTTCTTTATCACGGTCACTGACATCAACAAGTACCTCATTATCTAAGGAAGCTAGAACATCCTCGCGTCTACCTCCCATGGCGTCTGTTCTGTGTGCGGCTGGGATGAACTCACAGGTTCTGCCTCCTTACTGACCATCTTTGGAATTTATCCCTTTTCTCTGTCCTTCACTTCCAGTTTCCCACACCAGGCCCTTTCATTTCTGGCCCGAACTAATTGCCCCAGCTCTTTGCCAGTTTGCTTTCAGTGATATCATTTTCTATCCCTTTTACATACCAAATTTTCCTGATGAAATATGGATCTTACTGTGCCATAAGCCCAGTTTAGTATCCTGTTCCTCACTGTTTTTAGTGTGAGATATGACCATCAAAAAATGGGCTTTTCTGCTCTAATCCTGGGTCATTCTCCTGCCCACCTTTCCGTCCTGCCTTCTCGTCCCTCCCAGACTCCAAGCCCTCCTGCCTGTCTTGATGGCCTTTTCCCACCGCAGGCTGCTTTTCCACCGCAGGCTGCTTTGCATCTGCTGTCTCTCCTGCCAGGAATCCACCCCCCTTTTGTTAGTTGTTTTGGGGCATCTGGGTTTAATGCACAGCTGTGTGCTCCTATACCACCCACATAGCATTTTTGTCATAGCATGTATTGTAAATATTAGAACAGAATGTATTTCTTTACTGTGGAATCATACAGGATTCCTTGAGGGTAGGAACTGCATTCCTGTCTCTTTACCCAGCATGGGGTATGGCTCAAATAAGGTAGTTTCTGAAAGCTAGTCATGGCCAACGTTAACTTTATTTGTTACGGAATGTGGGCATCACATATGTTAGGCAAGTGATTTTTCTGTTTCTTCCCGAAACCGGGTCTCGTGTAGCCCTGGCTGTCCTCAAACTGGATGTGTGTCGGAGGATGACCTTGGGCTTCTTCTCCTCCTGCCTCTACAAACACGGTGTTAGAATCTCTGGCATGTGCCTCCATACCCAGTTTGTGTGGAGCTGGGAACCCAGGGCCTCATGTGTACTAGGAAAGTACTCTAGCTGGGTGTGGTGGCGCATGCCTTTAAGCCCAGAACTCAGAAGGCAGAGGTGGGCAGATCTCTGTGAGTTGGAGGTCAGTCAACCTGTTCTACTAGGCAAATTCCAGGACAGCCAGAGCTACATAAAGAGATCCTGTTTTAAACCACAAACGAACTCTCCCTAACTTTTCCAGTTGAGCTACATCCCTAGCCAACAAGCCATTTGACTTAAACATTAATTATAATCTATTATTATTGTGTGCTATGTGCATGATGTGTGTGGCATGTGTGTGGGGTCAGTGAACAGCTCCGTGGAGTCAGTTCTCTCCTTTCATCTTTGTGTGGGCTCTGGGTATTATACTCACGTTACCAGATCTGAGGGGGATGAACCCTCACCTGTGCCATCTCACCCCCAAGTCCTTTCATTTTAGTGGCTAGTATTTTATAACTGACTAGGGGAAAAGTGAAGTGCTCTGTTGTAACATTTAACTGGTGTTAGCACCAGCTGGACACCTTGTTACTCGGGGCTGGCATGAGCCACCCAAAGATAACAGACTCTGCAAGGCTCAGCTTCTGCCCTTCAGGAGACTGACTTATTTCAGATGCCAGTTACTGGTAGTTGACCAGCCCACCCATACTGGCTCACTGGCTACAATCTAAGGGATTCCTATGACCCCCCCCCCCCCCGCTGCTCAGGTTTTATGATTCTAGAATAACACAGAACTCAGGAAAGTGCTCTTACATATATAGTGTTATTATAGAGAATGTTAGTCAGAAAAACGCCAGATGAAACAGGGCATGGTGTCATATGCCTGTTATCCCAGCAGAAGAACCAGAAGTTTAAAGTCATCCTCGGCTGTGTAGCAGGGTGGAGTCCTAGTCTGGAATTCAGGAGCTCCTAACTGGCTGAGTCCCCACATAGAGAGGTTTTATGCTCTACTGATGGGGAGGGGCTGTCACCCTCACTGTAGCTTCCTCAGGACATCCAGGCGTTCCCCACCTTCTGTGTCTAGAATTTCTATTAGCTTTGTTATATGGGCATGCTCCATAAATGACTAGTCACATGACTGAACTTAATTTCCCGCCTTCCTCTCCCCAGCAAAGGCTGTGCAGGCTGGTTGGTCTCCTTGGTGATCAGACGCCTGTCTTAAAGGTTCCCGAGGCAGCAGTGTGTAGAACATACCTAATTCCAGCACATAGAGAGGCAGGAAAATGAAGAGTCCAAGGCCCACCTGGGTTAGAATGAGAGAGACCCTCTTAGGATTGGGTCAGGGAGGAGAGAGATGAGGAGAGAGGAAATGATGGGCCAGGGGCCCTGCTTCAGCCATCTTGTTAGTATAACAAAGCCAGTCCTGGCACACGGGAAATGGTTTTAGAGCTCTGTAGCAGGCAGATTTTACTGTCGTTGTTGAGACTGTTCAGGTAGTATAGACTGGCTCAGAGCTCTCTGTGTAGCTGACGATGACCTTGAACTTCTAAGCCTCCTGCCTCCTCCTCCTGAGTGTTCACGTCAAGTATAGTTAGTGCCAAATACAGTGTTAGCTCCGGGGCTGCAGGCATGTGCCACCCTGCCCAGCTAGGTCAGACAGCTTCCATACACAACATAGAGTTGTAGAGTAGGTGGTTTTTTCTTTATTTTAAAAACTTCATTCAAATGACATTAAGGTTGAAACTTCTTAATGTAAGTTTGTAGGTTGTGAAAAGATTTGTCAGCAGAAATTACAGTGGCTTCCCTACTTGTAACCATGTATCTTGTATTTAGGTATTCCCAGTTCCAGAGCGAATACAGCTTAGATGAAGTAATGAAATCTAGGACGATTTTCGATTTTCTGACTGTCTTGCAATGCTGGTAAGAAAAGCATGTTAGTATTTCCTAAGCATAGCTAACTGCTCATCCCCTGCCCGTCCCTCCCTGGGTAAATGTTAGGCTCTGTCTGTAACTTTTGTAGAATTGCCAGCGTCCCCCCACTCTGGGTGGCTTTATCAGCGTCCCCCCACTCTGGGTGGCTTCACCAGCGGTCCCCACTCTGGGTGGCTTCACCAGTGTCCCCCACTCTGGGTGGCTTCACCACTGTCCCCCACTCTGGGTGGATTCACCACTGTCCCCTCACTCTGGGTGGCTTCCTGAGCATGTACCCAACTTTTTGTTGCTGCTCTGAGGCAGATCCCCTCTGTCATGAAAAAATACATTTTACCTCTTCCTTCTCTAGTAACTTTTACTTGTTTGGGGTATTCTGTGTTTATTTATTAAAAACGCCTTAGTAGGCCAGTGCAGCCCTAAGGCTCTGGGAGCGTTTGTTTTCCCTGTAGACTTCTAGCACGGAAAACTTTTCTCTGTGATAGATAAGAGCGAAATGAAGGATTCATAGCTCTAACGGTGCTCACAGTTACATTGTGAAACTTGCCTGCCGCTCTCTTGCTCCTCGAACATTGACTGAGGACGGTGTAGTCCTGCGTCCATTCCTGACTGAGCTCTGGGGATACTGTCTGGGATGCAGTTGACAAAATGGGTCAGCTGTCACCTGGCAGAGTCTGGAGGACGGCCCACTTAGAAAATCCTTCCCAGCTCATCGAGGGGCTCTTGTGTGTGCCACCTAGCTTCCCAGCTGATTGTAGATCTCTGTTGAGATCTCAAGGGTCTTACCTCTGGATTTTTTAATGTCCCCATTCTATTCTGCCCCAGCTTCCAAGAGAATTCCAGACTGAGCTCTCTGGGATACAGCAAGGCTGGAGTGGTATGAGTCCCTAGTAGTATCTTCATAGAACTAATGCGCTCTGCAGAGGTCCCCCAGCCCCCAGTCTGAACCCCTAGGAGATGGACGGTGTTGGAGTAATTGTTTCACTTCCTCCTAGTCCCACCTCTGATGGCGCTGCAGCAGCAATTTTGTCTAGTGAAGATTTCGTACTGAAGTACGGCCTGCAAGACAAAGCTGTGGAAATTGTGGCACAGGAGATGATGACTGATTTGCCAAGCACATTTGAAGAAAAAAGCGTTATTAAAATGGTATATCCGAGGTTCATTTTTTTTTAATTAAATTAAGGAAATATTATTTTAAATTGCAACCTGACACTTTATTGTTGTTAGCTCTGGAAGGCACTTATAAAAAACTTGATCTAGAAAGGTTCTTGTGTAGCCCATTTTCTTAGTCATGGTTTCTGTTGCTATGAAGAGTCACCAGGACCATGGCAACTTTTTAAAAATATTTATTTTTATTTTTATGTGCATTGGTGTTTTACCTGTATGGATGTCTGTGTCAGGGTGTTGGACCCTGGAGTTACAGAGACAGTTGCAAGCTGCCATGTAGGTGCTGGGAATTGAACCCTGGACCTCTAGAAGAGCAGGCCAGTTCTCTTAACTGCTGAGCCATCTCTCTTGCCTGACCATGGCAACTCTTATAAAAGAAAGCATTTAATTGAGGTGATGGCTTACAGTTCAGAGGTTCAGTCCATATGCATGCAGACATGTAACTGGTTACATCTTGATCAGGAGGCAACAGGAAGTGGACTGAGACACTGGGTGATAGTTTGAGCATATGAGACCTCAAAGCCCACCTCCACAGTGACACACTTCCTCTAACAAGGGCACACCTACTCCAGCAAGGCCACTGGGAGATGGAGGATGGAGAATTAGGAATTCAGGCCCAGCCTTAGCTACATTGCTAATCAGATGCTGCTGCTTAGGATGGCGTCATAAATGTGGTGTTTTAATTTATTAGACATGTTGGTTTTTGATTTTATTTATTTATTTATTTACTTACTTACTTACTTACTTACTTACTTACTTTTGAGAAAGGGCTTCTTCGTGTAGCTCTGGCTGTCCAGGAACTCTCTCTAGACCAGGCTGGCTTGAACTCAGAGATCCACCAACCTCTGCTTCCCAAGTCCTAGAATTAAAGGTATTTACCCTTATTAAAGGGAAAATAAAAGATTTCAGACCTAAAGTGAGTTGAACAATTGAAGATTTGCCCCTCAACCACAGGAGCAGTTGTGACAGTAAATTGGATAAAATAAATTTTTACAACATGCTTTAAATGGGAAATGCTTACGCAACTTAATCAAATGCTTTAATTTGATTCCCCGTAAGCTCACGTGTTACAGATTTAATGCCTGATCCAGCATTGTTTTGAAGTGGAGTCTTTGGGAGGTGACCAGATCTTGGGAGCTCCAACCTAATCAAAGGATTAATTCATTGATGGGTTCACAGTTTAATGGGTTTCAGGGACGAGGCTTTGTGGAAAAAGCTAGCTCTGACTGCTCCCTGGCCTTGGGGGGGGGGGAGGGGAACAGCCTTGCTCTACCATGTGTTCTCTGCTAGGATTTAAAAAAAAAAAAAAAAAAAAAAAAAAAAAAAAAAAACCTTGCAATGAGTCTGGTGTGATAGCTCCAGGTGACCCTGGGTTGAAACCTGCAAAACTATGAACCAAAATGACTCTTTCCTGTGGGGCATGGCTGCGTGACGTGTAACCTCAGCTCTTGAGAAGAAAGGCAGGAGGAACAGGAGCACAGGGCCATCCTCAGCTGCACAGTAGATTTGAGGCTAGCCTGGGCTACATGAAATCCTGTCTGAAAAATAAAACAAGCGGGAAAGAACCTTTCCTGCTCTTCAGTTGTTTTCTTGGGTGTTTTGTCAGAGCAGTGGGGTGTTGACCGGCAAAGTCAAGGTCATACCATTGGGTGATGGCACGTAGCTTCTAGTCAGGTTCTGGTAGCACATTGTATATTACTTCTGCCTTTTCCTTGAATAGAAGTTGACTATGGCCTGTGCAAAAGTGGTTTGAATCCTCTGTGATCTTCTAAAAGAAGGTTGCATATTTTCCTATAGAATTGTTCCATATTTTTCACTGTGACTCATAATAATGTATTAAAAATTCTCTTCAGCCAGTACAACTATACATTATAACTTCATCAATACAGCTATATGTTACAATTCCATAGTTTTCATAACAGCCTAGATAGAACCTTGGAGATTCTAAGTCCTTTTTCGATGTCTTACTTAAACTTTTGTTCTTTATGGTAGGTATAAAATTCTGTATGTACATTCTTCTTTTTGGACATTATTTTATTTAGACCTTTTATGTAATGCAGGTTCAGCTGAGATTTCACTATGTGTGGAATTTTGAGCTTTTAATATTATGCGTGCACTAGTCTCTTAAACGCCTTGGCTAAAAGGCCACGGGCCGCTGCCCTTTCTCACTCCCGAATGGACTTTTGGTTCTAGGTTGGTTTCGATATGACTAAAGAGGCCGCCAGGAAGTGCTATGAGAAGTCCGGCCTGAGACCCACCGACGTTGATGTGATAGAGCTTCATGACTGCTTTTCTGTCAATGAGCTCCTGACTTACGAGGCCCTGGGGCTCTGTCCAGAAGGTAGTGTCTTTGAAGATGGCTCTCCCCGTGTGTGTGTGTGTGTGTGTGTGTGTGTGTGTGTGTGTGTGTGTGTGTGTGTTGGTCCCACTGAGAAGCCGTCACTTTCTCATTAAGCAATAGGAGTCACTAACTGCCTGTCCCTGCACACTGGCTCTGCCACACTGTGCAAACTGGTTTAGAGCATCCAGTCTTGGACGGCACCAACCCTGGCAGAACAGAGTGTATACCTTCCTTTACACCATGCAAGTCAGTGCTTAGAATGTCCTGTTCCATTTTAGAGAGGATTTATTAGGCCTACAAACCTCAAGTATTTTTAAATTGTGTTTAAATAAAGCCTTGCAGAAAGGAAAAACGGCAGAGCTGATGATTGACAGGTGTGACGGGTTCCTGTCCATTTCTAAAGCGCACCATTCTGAGCGCATGAACTCCGGTTGTTCACTTCCTCGTCGGCCTTTGACAGCGTTGTTCACATTTCAGGCTTGCTCAGAGGATAGGACTGCATCTTACTGTAGTCTTGACTTGCATTCCTCATGACTAATGATACTGAAAACCTTTTTATGTGCCTATTGGTCATTCATTTATCGCCTTTAAAAAAAAAAGATTTATGTTATGTGTATATGTTGGTACCCGTGTGTGGGTAAGTGAACGAGTAACTTCAGGGTCCCCTAGGGTTGGAGTTACAGCTGGTTGTGAGTCACCCTATGTGGGTGTTAGGAATCAAACTTGGGTCCTCTAGGGAAGAGTAGTGCATGCACACCTAACTGATGAGCTATCTTTCCAGCCCCTCATGTACCTTCTTTTTACGTATCCTGTGCCTGTCTTTTTATATCTATTTAAATCTCTGCCTTTTGGTTGTCTGCTCTCGTTATTGTATTTTAAGAATGTATGTATTTATATACATACACATATATAACATCACAATTTTAATATATATACTCTATATATTCTAGATACATTTCAGAGATAAGCTTCTTTTTGTTTGTTTTTTTTTTGTGTGTGTGTGTGTTTTGTATTGTTTTGTTTTTTGAGACAGGGTTTCTCTGTGTTGCCTTGGCGGTCCTGAAACTCATTCTATAGACCAGGCTGACCTCGAACTCACAGAGATCCTCCTGCCTCTGCCTCCTCAGTGTTGGGATTAAAGGTGTACTCCACTACTGCCCAGCCAATGATAAATGTTTATGTTGTGAATATTTTCTCCTAGTCCAAGAACATAGTCTTCTGTGTCCATATGGTTTAGATGGACCATTTTATTATGTTTTCTTCTTGTGTTGTGTACTTTTTATTCTCTGCTTTCCTTCTGACTTCTTTTGCATCATTTGAACATTTGTAGGATACTATATGTATCTGCTGGCTTTTTGACTGGATCTCTTTTTAAGATTTATGTATATTAGTTTATAGTTATCGTGTGTATTGTGTTTATTGGTGTGCACGTGGCATGGTGCACATAAGGAGGTCAGAGGACAACACCATGGAGCTGCTTTCTCTCTTTCCCCCTTTGTAGGGTTTTAGGGTCACACTCAGGTCACCAGGCTTGTCTCAGGAACATTTTACCTGCTGAGCCATCTCCTAGGCCTTCCCTTTTCCCCAGGCTACTCTAACTTGCTGGCTAGCTGACAATGACCTTGAACTTCTGGCCCTTTTGCTTCTGTCTCCCAAGTTCTGTCACTCTACGGAGTTAGCTCCCTCCTTAGCCCCTGTTTCTTTTTCTTCTCTAGAGGCTGCTGATAGGACATCCTCAGCACTGTTGGCCTTTGAGCCCTGTCGTTCTGTAGTAGAGTGTGCACATTTTAGGGTGTTCAGCAGTGAGTGTGCTTGACCTTCTGCCCACAGAATGCCACAAATGCCTCCCACAGTCGTGACAACCAAAAATGTCTCCAGACATTACCACGTCTCTCCCTGTTGGTAAAATCTCCCCCAGTTAAGAACCGCTGCTCCAAGGCCATGGTGTGTCCTTAGCCTTCAGTCTCTAGTAGTTAGTATTGTGCCTCTTAACATGCAAGGAGGAACCCTGGCCACCACACAGGCCCTTAACTGACTCCTCTTTGCCTTCATTGTTGTAGTCGTCATGTATATCGCACCTGTTTATATTGAAAATATTAACGTGATCATATTTGAAGAGATTAAGAGGAAAAAGTATTTTATATTTACCTATGTATTTATAATTTTTGTCACTTCATTCTTAAAGATCGTGTGTGTGTGTGTGAGTGTGTGTGTGTGTAGAATCTTCATGTTTGAGATAATGTCTTTCTCTTACTGCTCATGGCTGTGTACCCTACAAGCGTCTAGAGGCTCCCCTGTCTCCACTTCCTGTTTTGCTGTAGGAGTACGGGGGTTATAGATCCATGCTGGGCTCTTACGTGGATCTTAGGGTTTCAAATCCAGGCCCTCATGTCTGAGTGGCAATACTTTACCCACTGAGCCATCTCCCAGTCCAAGACTGACCTGGACTGGCAGGTTTTTCATTAGTGACAGGTTCCTGAGAGGAGGACCAAAGGAAGATAAATTAAGAAGACATGAAAGTTTGGGATCAGGATGCAACGATGTTTATTAAGATGTACAGCATATTATATATATAGTTCGCAGGGGGAAATGAACACAGTCATCGGAAAACTATCATATATAGACCCAGTACACAGCATCTTTGAGACTCAACTCCAGTCTCTTCTGGGGGAAAAGGCCAGGTTCCCAGGAACCAAAACCTAACTCCTTTGAGGGCCTGTTTCTAGTTCCAGACTACAGGAGCCAAGTCTGCCCTGGGCAAAGACACAGACTAGCATTCCCTTTGCCCTTTCATCAGGGCTGCTGAGAAAGCCTTGGATCATCCTGGCTCCGAACACAAGAGCCCTGTTTCTTTGTTTTTATTCTCTGTATTTTGCCTGCATGTTTGTATGTGCACCGGTGTTTGCCTATTGCCTGAGCAGGACTAGAAGGGGGCACTGGATCCCCTGGAACTGGAGTTAAAAGCTGTTGTGAGCAGCTGGGAAACAAGCCTTGGTCCTCTGCAAGACTTGTGAATATACTTTTCTAAAAATGTAACAAAATAAAATATAATAAGATAAAACAAAAACTATCACATTGGAGTTGGACAAGGCATATGAACAGAAGGAAAAGAGCCTAAGAGAAGGCACAAAAATCAGAGACCCGCGTGTTTGCACTTAGGAGTCCCGTAAGAACACTGAGCTGGAAGCCATTATCTGTGCTCGTTGACCTGGTGCCGACCCTGGGCAGGCCCTGGGCAGGCTGCAGCAGTCTCTCTGAGTTCATATGCACTTTGATCATGTTGAGTTAGAGGGCCTCGTTTTCTTGGCATCCTCCATCCTGTCTGGCTCTTACACTCTTTCTTCTTCTTCAAGGTGGGTGAGTTCCCCTGTCCTGTTGGAAGGGATTTTGATAGAGATCCCATTTAGGGTTGAATGTTCCAAGATCCTCTCTCTGTCTCTGCTCCCACTCCGCTTTGAGACAGGGTCTAAATACACAGCCCTTACTGACCTGGAATTTACTGTCTAGACCAGGCTGATCTCGAACTCACAGAGATCTGCCTGCCTCTGCCTCCTGAGCTCCTGAGTGCTTGGATTGAAGGCATGCGCCATTACAGTGATGTCTGTTTAGAGCTTTTGGTATTACCCCACAAGTCTGTGGAACACTTACTTTTTTGTTTTGTTTTCTTTTTGTAGAATTGGTGATCAAACCTGGGGCCATTCGTTTTTTAAAATCCCCTTCCTGCTCTGAGCCTCTGGAGTAATTTCTTTTCCCCAGTTTTTCGAGACAGGGTTTCTCTATGTATCAGCCTCGACTGTCTGGAACTCACACTGGCTTCAAACTCACAGAGATCCACCTGCCTCTGCCTTCCGAGTGCTGGGGTTAAAGGTGTGCGCCACTGTCACCCAGCTTTTTTCTTTCTTTCTTTTTTTCCTTTTCTTTCTTCCTTTTTCTTTTTTTGGAGACAAGAGTCTTGCTGGCCTTGATCACATGACCATCTTCTTGCTTCAGCCTTCAGAATGGTAGGATGTCCTTTCATGTTTCTCTTCCTTTCCTTTTGGAGACAGATCTCAGGCTGGGGCTAGCTCAGGAGGCACAGTGCTTGCCTCACATGCAGGAACCCCTGGGTCCAGTCTCCAGTACCAACGAGCTCACTATTGCAGAGCCAGCTTTGACCTTGCAGCCTCTGCCTCTGCATCCGGGGTCAGCATCCTGGCCATGAACCACCACATCTGGATTTAGTGTTTTATTTCAAAGATTTCTCTTTTCAAATTTCTTTGGGATTCATTTTCTAGTTTCTTGGCTGTCCTGAGAACTTCTGTCTTGGTGTGTATTTCTAGTGTGTCTCCTTCCCCTTGCAGCTCTAGGATCAGTTTGAAAGTCCTCGATACCTTTGTAATCTAGACTTTGTAATCTATTGATGCTCTTTCTCCCTTGGGTTACCTCTCCCCATTTTATTTTTGAGACAAACTCTGTTGCTAGGACCGGGGATCACTGGGTTTAGGCGAGGTGGGATGGCCAGTGAGCCCAGGAGTCCACTGTCTCTGCCTCCTCAGGTCTAGGATTCTAAGCACACACACCAAACCCGGCCTTTTATGTGGGTGCTGGGGGTTAACTCAGTCTTCCTGCTTACTGCCTACATGCCTCATGGTTTACTGACCGAGTTATCTTTCCCCCCCCCCCCCCCNGTTTCTCTTGTGTTCTTTCACCCTTTCGCCCTCTTTTCTTTTCTTCGACATTTTTTGTTCCCCCCCCCCCCCCCCCCGCTCCACACTGTTTGTGACTTAGGGAGCGGTCAGCCCAGTTTGTTATGACAAGTTCTGTCTTGCCTTCGGAGGTGGTGACTGATGCTCATGTTTAGCTCCTGAGCCTGTTACAGCTGTGCTGGTTCGGGGCCCTCCTGTGCATCCATAGCTCAGGGGAGTGAGTCTCAGACCTACATAAGTCTCCACTCAGAATCAGGCTGGGGGCTCTGCTCTGGCTCTCTCTACTGTGGCCTCCTTTGCTCACTACTCAGCCTGTGGAGTTTCTTTTTCTGGTTCTGTTGGGTAGAAAGGGGGGTTTCAAATCTCAGCATTTGGGAAACAGAGACAGGAGGATCAGGAGGCAGAGACAGGTGGATCTCTGTGAGTTCAAGGCCAGCCTGGTCTATAAGAACTAGTTCCAGAACAGGCTCCAAAGCTACAGAGAAACCCTGACTCGAAAAACAACAACAACAACAACAACAACAACAAAAAAACCAACACAAAAAATAAAAACAAAATAAAATAAAAATCACTTTTTTAAAGATTTATTTGTTATTTAAGTGTGTGTTTGCATGTCTGTGCATGTGTGCACGCATATGTAGAGCCAGAAGAGGCTGTCTCATCCTTTGGTCATAGGAGGTTATCAGCTGCCTAAGTTTGTTTCTGGGAAGCAAACTTGTTGCAAGAGCATCAGGTGCCCTTAACTGCCAAGCCATCCTTCCAGCCTCTGCAGAGTCGGTCTCAAGTCTTATTTCTTTCTCAAGCCACTGTGACTGAATCCTTTGTTGAGTCCTGTTGGCACTGGACTCTGCCTTCAGATAAATCTGAGTACACCACTTCTTGCCAGGTTTGTCGCTGCCAGCATGATTTCTTAGGCTGTGGTTGCCTCACAGCTGGCCCTGCGTCTGCTTGGACTCCAGTCTCTTTGCTCAAGCCCACACAGAATGGTCAGGGTTGTCCTTCTCTTACAGGCCTGCTCGTTTCTCACTCACAGAGAGGAACTGGCTGAGTGTTGTCTCTTTAGGGTGCACCTAGGTGTCCGCAGCCTCTTCTCTCTGTGACTACTCTCCTGAAGCCACGTTGCCTCTTATTTCAAGCACCGTCGGTTCATTTTCCCCTCAGATGCTGCATCTAGAACCCCATGTAGTTTGTCCAGGGTTCTCTTCCTTGTTCCCACCTTTGCAAACTCTTTTCCATCCTCCTCTTCATGGTGCCATGGCTACGTACAGTACCCAAACCATTAATTATCGTCACCTCTGGAGCTCCCAGATCTTATTATTTGATCAGAAAAGCATCTGGAAGAATATTTTATATGATCCATGCACTTTTGTTTTGTAACCACCAAACAGCAAACAGATCATTAACGGGCAATGTGGAGGCCACCAAGCATGTGAAATAAATTTGTAGTTTTTTTTTTTTTTTTTTTTGAGGGGAGGGGTTTGTTTGAGACAGAATTTCACTGCATCTCCCTGGTTGGTCTGGAACTCAGTATGTAGGTACTGGAATCAAACACCAGGACATCCAATGCTGGGTACGCACTCTGCCACGAGCCACACTTTCAGTCCTGCTCTTCTGTTGTTTTTGTTTGTTTTGTTTTGTTTTGACAGTGTTCCTCCACGTAGTCCTGGCTGTCCTAGAACTCACTCTGTAGACCAGGCTGGCCTCGAACTCACAGAGATCCATCTTCCTCTGCCTCCTGAGTGCTGGGATTAAAGGTGTGCGCCATGATGATCAACAAGCCTTTTTTTTTTTTAATTTAAACAATTATATACCACATAGTAATACAGCTGAAACCAGAGAGAAAATAAATTCATTTTGGACACTTAAGAATTTTGAAACTGTAATTTCCAGTTAAAATGCTGCAGAGCGTTTGTGCTGTCCTTATTAGTTCTTTTCTGCCTCTCTGTTGCACCTGGGGCAACTTTGGAAGCTACAGGGCTTTTAGGAACTAGTCAGTGCTCTGTTTCATGCAGAACAGTTTGGAAAGGTTAGCCTTTATTGCTCAGTAACATTACTCAACGCTTAGAACCATTTGTAACAAATTATTAAGCTCGTAGGAAGTGTTTGTATTAAATACTCAGCTGTATGGGAAAGTTAAACAGACATGCCTTCTGTCCAGTATTATTTTGTAACATTTGTGAATGTTAATGTTTTCCTCCTGCAGGGCAAGGCGGAACACTGGTTGACAGAGGAGATAACACCTACGGAGGAAAGTGGGTCATAAACCCTAGTGGAGGACTCATTTCCAAGGGACACCCCCTGGGAGCAACAGGTGACAATATATTCAGATTCGAGAAATTTTTATTCTTTTTTTTTTGTCAAAATTATACTTTAGACCTTGATTTCCTTTTTAGCTCTTTTTTATATTTACTTATTTATGTATTGTATATGTATGTGTGCACATGCATGTTCTATAGCGCACACATGTGGAGATCATAGGACAGCTTGAGGGAATTGGCTCTCTCTTTCCAATTTTATATGGGTCCCGGGGAATCAAATCTCAGGTCATCAAGCTTGGCACATATCTATCTGCTGAGCCATTTTGCTGGCCCTTGTTTTTGATTTTTTTTTTAAGACAGTCTAACTGTATAACTCAGGTTGGGCTGGAACTCACTGTATAGTTCAGGATGACCTTAAACTTTCAGCAATCCCCCTGCCTGCCCCTCCCAAATGCGGGGATTGTTGGTATGAACTGCTGTGAGTGGCTGAAGTCAATGATTTCAGTATGTCTGTATTCTTTGAACCTGGAGTGACTGGAGCTTTCTTTTCTTTTCTCTTTTTCCTTCCTTTCTTTTGATTTCTTTATTTTTTATGTACATTGGGATTTTGCCTGCATGAAAATACAAGATTCCCCTCGAACTAGAGTTACAGATAGTTGTGAACTGCTATGTGGGTGCTGGTTCTTTGGAAGAGCGGCCACTGAGCCACCATTCCAGCTCCGTGAGTGGGGCTTTAAATGCTTCTTAACTGCAGTCGCTTGATTTCCCTTCACCTGCAGTGTGCTAATTCGCCAGCTGTTTCCTAACCGAGCTGCTGGACTATCCAGATAAGATCATCTCAGCTGAGCACTGCGTGGAACTTGCCTCCTCTTGAGAAATCCAGACTAGAAATTATGAAATAAGAGCTTTACTATGGCTCTGTTGCCCACTGGCCACTGTGATTCCTCTGAGCAGTTAGAAATTAATCACTTTGACTCTAAGGTCTTTAACTGAAAAAATGACAGCTTCTGTATTGCAGCTTCTAAAATAACGTAGTGGCAAATTTCTGTTGTTTGTTTCTGTAAAGGTAGATGGGCTGTGTTTTTTCTTTATTATCTGGTATGTGTTGATTAATGGAATATTTTAACTTCTTGAAATTTCTGCAATAAATTAAAGCAGTTAACCTTGTTTTATTTTTATTTAAAACTCAAATTTCAGTTGAGTGTAGTGGTGCAGACACCTTTGTAGTTGGACCTTTTCATCAGGACCATCGGCTTCCCAGTAATGACCTGGAGACTTATTATTAATTATAAAAGCTTAGCCAATGGCTTAGGCTTGGTACTAATTCTTACAACTTAAACTAACCCATTTTTATTGATCCACTTTTCGTCTCGAGCTTTATCATCTTTACTCAGCACTGCCCATGCTGCTTCTCTCTGCCTGGTTGGTGCCTTTTTCTTCTTAGCATCAGTTACCTGAAAATCCCGTGTAGCTACTGGCTGTTCAGCTTTTTATTAAACCAATCAGAATGTCACATCTTCACAGGGTACAAAAAGATTATTTCCACAACACAGCTTTAATCCCAGCACTCGGGAGGCAGAGGCAGGAGAACTCTGAGTTTGAGGCCAGCCTGGTCTACAGAGTGAGTTCCAGGACAGCCAGGACTACACAGAGAGACTCTGTGTCAAAAAACTAACAAAAACAGCAAGAACCCCTCAGGTTTTGTAAGTGTATAACATAGTAGAAAACAGAAGAGCTAGATGGATTGGGGAGGAGAAAGGAAGAAGTGTGGCAGGGTGCAGGGCTGTTGTGTAGCTCAGTGGTGGGACACCAGGATACAGAAGGCCCCAGGTTCTGTACCAGGCTGTTCAGGAAGGAAGATGCAGGTAGGCTGCGTATTCACAGGTAGCTCAGTGTGGTGTGCTACTCTGCCATTCTGTTTTTTCCTCTCGTCTTTGGTTCTTTTATTATGTCATTTAAAAAACTGGCAGAGGTTTATTATTTTCTCTCATCCATGGAATTCCTTCTTTATAGAAGTTTGTCACGGGTGCTCCTGGAGGGTAGAACTTAGCGAGGTTGTGGAGGAACGCTGCTTACCTGCGTGTTCTCCCTGGCTCACTCACCTTTCCTTTTAAAGCAGGACTACAAGCCCAGGAATGCCACTGCCCACCCTTGCCTTAGGCTAATCTGATGGCGGCATTTTCTCAGTTGAGGTTCCCTCCTGAGTGCTGGGATTAAAGGCCTGCGCCACCACTGCCCAGCCTAGTAGGGTCTCTTAAGAGACGTGACCTTGCTCACCACTGGTGGTTGGCTAGGTTTATAGTGTTAGGTGAGATTTGCTTCCTATTGAGTGGGCCTTGAGTCTAATTAGACAGCAGTGATCACCATCAGGACACAGTCACTATCGCACCGCTGGGGACATCTGGCTGTGCTGGTCATTGCTGTGGCTCATAGACACCACAGCACAGCTGGGTAAGACACTTGATTTCTCATCCCCCTTTTTATTTCCGGCTTGCCCAGGATAGTCCTCAGGAAGTAGGCTTTTGGGTTAGATCTAGCTCAACGCCTCTGAGTCCTGTGGCCAAGTGTGTGCTATCTTTAGCAATTGGCACTTTGACTTCTGGGATGAAACCAAGGGCAACAACAATGCCTTCACTGTTTGGGGAGTCTCTTGAACTCGGAAGAAGCTTTCTCAGGCCAGGCACTAGGTGTTTTGTTAGTCTACGGCTCTTGGCAGAGGCATTATCATCCCAAGTGGCCTTATAACTTCATTTAAACAATAAATGTGTGTGTATAATACACCTATCTGTGCTATACGTACTTTAAAGTTAGATGATGCCCTATGACTATTTCAAACATTCTCAGGGTTATAGATCCCTCCTTCTCCATCTGTATTGTCTCCTTCTCCCCTCCATTTTGAACCCCTACTCCTAACCAGTTCTTCCATTTCCCACTGAATATCGCCTGCTTCCTTCTCGTCCCCTCTCAAGAGTTCAGTTTATCTTCCTCGTTGCTTTTCAAAATGTTCCCATCTCAAAAGAATTAAGTGAGTCAACTTTTTTTTGAGACAAAAATCTCACTAAGTAGTCCTGGAACTCGACACGCAGATCACGCTGGCCTTGAACTCACAGAGGTCCGCCTGCCTCTGCCTCTGCTGGGATTAGAGGAGTGTACCACTACACACACATCAGCTGGTTGCAGTGTTTTCGATTTCAGCATGCCAGGAAACAATGGGTTGAAGAAAGTGTGTGAGCATTCCATGATTTTGTGAACTCGAGTCTTTTTTAAATGCTAGATCACTTAGCGTGGGAACTAGCTGCGAATCTTGGGCTCGAAGTTCCTGAGGCGAGGGTGGCTTTAGCTGGAAGTCCCAACTAGCCCTTGCGTGGGGCGAGTGGGTGGAGACTTCGCTCTCGGGTGGGCGGAGACTTCTCTCTAACGCGGCCGGGGACGCTCTGTGCTCGACTCGCCAGGTCTGGCTCAGTGCGCGGAGCTCTGCTGGCAGCTGAGAGGCGAAGCCGGAAAGAGGCAGGTTCCTGGGGCAAAGGTGGCTCTGCAGCACAATTTAGGCCTCGGAGGAGCTGTGGTGGTTACACTCTACAGGATGGGTTTTCCTGGAGCTGTCAGGTAAGCGGCATTCCAAGTTTTGCTACTTTTGTTCTTCTGAGTATTCGCAATAAGTGACGCTTGCATATTTTTTAAAAATTCACAGTTTGATTGAACATTTAAGGGAAAGTATGGCATTACTGCTTTAACCTGACGTTAAAAGTTAAGACTTCTTTTTAAGCTCAGTCAGCCTTAGGGAAGTTTTGTTCAGGAGGAAGAGCGAAGCTAGGAATGCTGACCCACACGTCAACAGAACCCAGGCAAGTCGCCTTTTGGTTTCATTTCCCACAGTCGATGCTCTCCTTTCTCTCGGGTTCTGAAGTGGTTCGGAGAAAACAACCAAATACTTGTGCCATTGGACCCTTGCAGACACGTTTCTCAACCAAGCCCTCATGGCTGCTCGAATTCCTCCTGTCTCGCATTCTTCCTCTCTTGGAAGCGCCTGCTGCTTCAGGTGCCTCTGTCCCAGCTCTCTCTGATCCCTCAGCTGCCCTGCAGCCTCTCGGGGGTTCTTCTCCGAGGCCTAGCTTTGCCCTGTGTTTGAGTTCCACCCACCTTCTGTACTATTCCAGATTATGTATATCCTCTTCGGAATCTTCTAGCTTTCCCTTCATTGGCTCCTTGCCTCCATTCCCAAACACCAGCGAATCTTCCCTAGTCCACAAACTCATTTTTCTTTTCTTTTTGCTTTAATTATTCCTTTTCATGAAGAGCCTCTTTTTTTTTTTCTTTTTTTTCTTGGGTTGTTTCATGGAGACGGTTTCTCTGCGTAGTCCCGGCTGTCTTGGAACCATATTACCAGGCTGGCCTCGAACTCAGAGATCTGCCTGCCTCTGCTGGCCACCACTGGCCGTGATGAGCCTCTTATAGTGAACCACCTTTGCTTTGTGTGTGCTGGGATTCCTCGGGGTCTGTCTGGAATGAGGTCAGATCAGATTGTGTTCTGAGCCGAATGAATGAACTGATTACCGTTGACCGTATTTTCCATTCTTAAAAGTCTTTAACCACACTGTAACTTTTTTTTAACACTGACGGGCTCTTTTTCTCTTGAAATTCTTGGTAATTACTTAATCATTTATTCACACATTTTGTTCTACAAAGGATGGGGCACGCTTACAGACACACTTTCCATGCTGCACAGCCCCCCTTAAAGTCTGTTCAGTGATTTCCAGATTATCCTTCCCGTGATGGGTTCTAGAAGGTTTCATCACCCCCGAATGGGCGAACACACACCCCAGATGCTTTCACTTCCAGTCTGTCTCTTCTGCAGTCAGCTCCTCACCCACTCCGTGTCTCTGGATTTGCCTGCTGTGCATATTCCATATAAAGGGGGTCAGGTGGTGTTGCTCTTTCGTGACTGGCTTCTTTGATGTAGTGTTTTCAAGGCGCTGTATTGCTGTGGAGGGCTGACTGGTATCTCATTGGTATGAAAGCCCCTCCTGGCTCTTGGTCGTTACTGGTCTCTTTTAGCAATCCTCATGCATGTGATGGGAAAGCTCACAATTTTGGCTTGCATCTCCTCAGTACTAATCATTTTCTGAGCCTCATTTCCTGGGCTGCTCATCTACCATCCGTGTATCATAGTTGGAGAACTGTCTGTTAGGGTTATTGCTGATTTGTATTAACCTTTTCTTTCTGGCTGTGCTGGCTTTTAAACCCAGGGTATTGTGTATGCTAAGAAAGAGCTTCATCACCGAGCGATGCTTCTGCAGCCGCATTTCTCTGTATAAAACCCCACATGGTAGGTAGTGCCAAACTCACCACAGATAAATTGGAGAGCAGAGGTAAGGCAGTTTAGCTAAAGAACGCTTAAGATTAAGAAGTAAGGCCTTAGCCACCACCACAGAGTAAAGTTCCTGTTTCATTTACTTCTCACTCACAATCTTGTGACATTGTTGATACTGAGCCTGTGAAGGCTCTTACAGTAAAATGTCCTGTGTATCTAATGGAAAACCAAACCCACACTAGGATATTCTTTAAGTTAACCTTTCTTTTTTAAAAACTTATTTATTTATTATGAATACAGTGTTCTGCCTGTATCTCTGCCTGCATTCCAGAAGAGGGCACCAGATCTCATTATGGATGGTTTCTAGGAATTGAACTGAGATCCTCTGAAGAGCAACCAGTGTTCTTACCCCCTCAGCCATCTCTCCAGCTCCCAATCTTTAAGCCCCTTCCAACATTATTTACTGCTAGACTAATTCCAGTAAACTTGTATTTACCAAATTAAAATAAAAACCAATCACAGTGCCGGGCGTGGTGGCACACGCCTTTAATCCCAGCAGAGGCATGCGGGTCTCTGGGAGTTCAAGGCCAGCCTGGTCTACAAGAGCTAGTTCCAGGACAGGAACCAAAGCTACAGAGAAACCCTGTCTCAAATCCAAAACAAACAAACAAACAAACAACCAATCATAGTTTAGTTTCTACTAAAATTTTGTATTGAACGAAGTTATGAGACTCTAGGCTCCATGGTACGCACACACCTATATTCCCAGGTCTTGGCAGGCTGAGGGGAAGTTCACTTAAGCTAGCCTGGGCAGCACAGCAAGAGTAAGCAAAGTAAGCAAGAAAACGAAAAGAAACCAGGGGAAACGTCTGTGTGGGAGATAGCTGAGTTTAAGTTATTACTCGATTTCTTTTAAACAGGGCAGGTATAAAAGTAACTTACAAGGAAAGATGTTCAGAAAATATTGACAGTATTTTGTGTTAACTTTTTCTCTAATCTAATGGAAGGTTGGTTAATCAATGATGAGCTTTCTCAAACACACAGAGAGAGAGAGAGAGAGAGAGAGAGAGAGAGAGAGAGAGAGAGAGAGAGACACCTTGACCTTTGGAAATATGTCTGTATCTGACACATAGTCAAGATACTTTGTACACTTTTGAGCTGCCAGGATCGATTGTTCTACCAGATAGAATCAAGAAGTGTTTAGCTTGGAAAAGGGCACATTGGTGATTAAAGGTTAAAATACAGACTTATTTATTTAAGGCAGGGTTTCACAATGTAGCTCTGGCTAGCAGGGGCTTGCTGTGGCCCAGGGTGGCCTTGAATTCACAGAAACTTACCTGCCTTTCTGAAGTGTTGGGGGATTAAAGGCGTGTGCCAGCACATGAGGCAACTTGTTTCTTAAGACTCATTTACTGATTTTATGTGTGTGTCTGTTTTGTCTGAAAGCATATTTGTGAACCACATTCATGCATTCCCGGTAGAGTGCAGTGTATCTTGTGGAACTGGAGTTAAAGGCGGTTGTGAGCCACCGTGTGGGTGCTGGGATGAGAACCTGGGTCCTCTGGAAGAGCAGCAAGTGCTCTTAAGTGATGAGTCATCGCTCCAGCCCCAGAGTTTCAGTTTTATAAGATGAAAATTTAATCTTTGTACTGAACAGTTAAAAGTAGTTTGGGTGATGAAGTTTACGTGACGTGGGGTTTTTGTTGTTTTATGTTTTGAGGTAGGGTCTCATGAAGCCCAAGATGGACTAGGAACTCACTATGCATCTGAGGACGATCTTCAGCTCTCCATCCTCCGTCTCTACCTCCCAAGAGCTGATGTGATGTACACCTCTATATCTGGCTGTACTCTGTATATCTTGACACACTGAAAATACTGGAGAAGATCTTAAAAGTGTATAGGATTGTTTTGTACTTACACCCAAAAGGAAATGCTGCATTTCTTTAGGAGATTACTCAAAGATTCTATTTTTATCCCACCCCAAACAAGCATTTAACCTTCTTAGCTATCACCATGGCAGAGATGAATTCAATTCGTTGAGATTTGAACCATAAATGGTTCTCAGAAGAACCAGGTTACTGTTGTCCCATCCCTTAGGAACTTGACCCTTTGACAGTGTTTGCCATCGTTCACTCTTATCTGCTGGACCTTCTCTGCTCTAGGCTGCTGTGACCCTTTGCCTGATTTCTGAATGAATCCTCACTGGCTCCCAGACTTCTAAATAATGTCTTCCAAGGGACACTGTCCTGTCTTCTCTTCTCTATAGTCTACTCCAGGACTTCAACACTCTTTTTTTTTTTTGTTGGTGGTTGTTACTCCACTGGATCGATCCCTGTGAGTTCTGGACCCTCCTATCCTCCTGCCTCTGACATCACAGACTCCCCCAACTGACTGCAGCTGAGGTAGACCACCCGGGACTGCAGCTGAGGTAGACCACCCGGGACTGCAGCTGAGGTAGGTAGACCACCCGGGACTGCAGCTGAGGTAGACCACCCGGGACTGCAGCTGAGGTAGACCACCCGGGACTGCAGCTGAGGTAGGTAGACCACCTGGGACTGCAGCTGAGGTAGGTAGGCCACCTGGGACTGCAGCTGAGGTAGGTAGGCCACCTGGGACTGCAGCTGAGGTAGGTAGGCCACCCGGGACTGCAGCTGAGGTAGGTAGGCCACCCGTTCTCTCTGTTCCCACTTTACTCTTCACCTTAGTCATTTCCAGTTATCCCCAGAACCCCCAAGATAGCCTTTCTACCCTCTTTCCACGTCCCTCATCCCAGCAGCAAAGTCTGTAGATTCTGCTTTTGTTTTGGATCTGTCCCCTTCTTTTCATTCCCATCAGCAGACTGTATCCAGGCCGCCGTCACTTATGCCCGGACCACTGCAGCAGCCTCCAGCCCGTTCTCTTCACCTGCTTTCATGTCCCCTCTCTGAATCATTCTGCACACTGTTGGCAGGACTGTCAGGACACACTTCTGCTTTACTGCTGCTCTCTCTGTGGCTTCCCAGATTCCTTGCTTTGTGTGCCCATGTCTTCTGTACAGCTCTCCACCTTCAGGCCATGTCATTTTCTCCCCGCTTGCTGTGTTGGTCACTCTGATTTTCCTTTTTTCCTTTCATCCCCAGCTTTCTGCCCTTGAGATCATGGCAGCTTGGTCTTCAGACCTTACCTCTCAGATCATTCCTTGAACACTATTGCCTTGCATGTTGCAGGCAGTCGCTGGATGTTGCTTATGTGTTTAATGGCTGGTGTTTTCTTTGCTTCCTTCTTTCCTTGCTTTCTTTTTCTTTCAACAGGGTCTTACTATATATTCCTGGAATTCCCAATGTAGACCAGGCTGGCCAGAGATCTGCCTGCTCCTATCTCCCAAATGCTGGGATTAGAGGCATGCACCACTATGCCCAGCTAGTTCTTTTTTTTCTGAGACAATGTCTTACTAGGTAGCCCAGGTTAGCTTGAAACTCACTGTGTAGCCAAGGCTGGCCTTGAACTCAATCCTCCAGACTCTGTCTCCCAAGTACTGGGATTACAGGCTCTGCCACCATACCAATTTAGATGGTTATGAAATGACTGAAAGAGGATGGGAGTGAAGCTCATTGGGAAAGTCATGCTTAGCATGTACTAGGTCCTGGGTTCAAGTCCCACAGAGAGAGATAGAAGATAGATAGATAGATAGATAGATAGATAGATAGATAGATAGATAGGAAGATAGATGATAGAAGATAGACAGAAGATAAGGGGAGAAAGGGAGGAAGGAGTGATGATGGAGCAGCTGTGTCTCCCTCCTGTGACTTCCTGGCTCAGCTGCCTTCACCAGTCTGTGCTGGTCTCTCAGGAATTTCCTGACAGCTGAACATTGACTGCTACCTCTGACCTGACAGCATTCACGGCTGCTGCTGTTTTCCACAGGCTGCACACTGCTAGGCGCTTCTCGGGCCCTTGTTTTAATTCTGCAAAGTCACTGGTACTCCTTTTCCTCCTCCTGTTGTGCAGTGGGATGAAGTCCGCCCTTTGCTCAGAGTCCTACTGCCTGTGAATGGAATAGGCCCTTCAGAGCTCTAAGACCTGTGTTGCCAGTGCACATCAGGCCATTATCAGTGGTCGTCTCCTACGCGTCAGCAATGTGTCATTATCTCCTATCACAGGTCAAAGGGAATCTCGACCAGCCTGGCCTGTGTTCCACTGCCTCGTCCACTTCCTTGTAATTAGGTTCTGATTGCCATCATCTCTGATCGGATGATTGCAATAGACTCTTAGTTGATCTCCCTGTCTCCTGATTTGTTCCTTTAAGGTCTACTTTCTAGCTGAGAGTTAGATTCTTTTTCAAGATATAAACTAGGACATGCTCCAGTGTTTTTTTGATTATACTTAAAACTGAAACTTGGTGGGGGTGGGGGTGGTTTATTTGTCTGTTTTTTGTTTTTGTGATGAGGGTCCTCAAGCATTCTAAGTGCATGTTCTACCACTGAGCTACACGCCAGTCCTTAAAACTGAAATGTAACGGGCTGGGGGCATTTTAGCAGCAGAGTGCTTGACGAGCAGGCCCAAGAGTCTGGATCCCATCCCCAGCACTGCAAGAAAACCAAAGAAACCAAAACCACTGAACCAATTACCTAAGGCCTGGGAGGTCCTGTTCTGTTCTCGGCCCTTTGGTTTCTCACAGCCTGCCTCTCTCCTCCTCTGCTGTAGCCACGGCCTCTCTCCTCTGCTGTAGCCGCGGCCTCTCTCCTCCTCTGCTGTAGCCGCAGTCTCTCTCCTCCTCTGTTGTAGCCGCGGCCTCTCTCCTCCTCTGTTGTAGCCGCGGCCTCTCTCCTCCTCTGTTGTAGCCGCGGCCTCTCTCCTCCTCTGCTGTAGCCGTGGCCTGTGTCTCTCCTCCGCTTGTAGCCGTGGCAGCCTTCTATCTCCTTTGGCTTCCTTGTATTTCATTCTTCACCTTTATACCTAAGTTCCTTCGGGCTTACATTGGCTTCCCCGCCGAAACTCTTTGTAGGGCTGGTTCATTTAGCAGTTGAAGATGTGATGTAAAATATCGCCTCCCTAGAGGGGCTCTCAGTGACCACTATCCACAGTAGCATGCCTGACATAGATGTCCCCTCTCTAGCCATTTAGCTGCTCTGCTTTCAGCAGGTAACTGTAGCTTTGTGTGCTTGTTTGTTTCGTCAAAAGTCTCTCTGGCGTGTAAGTTTCACGAGGGTAGCTTCTCTTCACCTAGTGAGAACTCAGTATTTGTTGTAGGATGGGAGTTGGGTAATTGTTTTATATACTTACTAAAGATTTTCTTTAGGTCAGATTTGCAACATCTCTTCTTGGGACTTTTGAGAGTTACTGTTACGTAGATGTTAAAACCCAGGTCCCTCTGTGAGTCCCAGAGCTGACACTGATTCCTTCCACAGCTCCCGAGCACACCAGATCGAGGCTGCGCCCACCAGCTCTGCGATTGATGGGTTCAAGGCGAATCTCGTCTTTAAGGAGATCGAGAAGAAGCTCGAAGAGGTGAGAGACCAGAGCTGGGGCTGGGAGGTGCATGGTTTCATCTGATGTTGATGGTAGCAGAAGGTGACCTCTCATGTCACGTGCTGAAAGTCTGTGTTTCAGAATCCTGAGTGTCTCATAAGCCTTCTTGGTATTTCTAGTAAGACTGAGTTTTGAAAATGTATGCATCTCCAGATCTGTTTTGTTTTGTGTTTTGAGACAGGGTTTCTCTTTGTAACCCTGGCTGTCCTGGAACTCGCTTTGTAGACCAGCCTGGCCTCAAACTCACAGAGATCCACCTGCCTCTAACTCCCAAGTGCTGGGATTAAAGGTGTGTGCCACCACTGTCCAGCGCACATCTCTAAATTTGATTGTAAAGACTGTAAATAATGCTTAAAATCATTTTCATTTTCGTCTTCTTTGTCAGGAAGATATCCAGTTGTGTATAGTTGGGTATAGGTATAGTTCAGATGTAAGAAGCCTCATTTTGATATAACCTTTATTTTTATTTGTCTTTTTTTAAAAATTAATTTATTTATTTTATTTATTATGTGTACAACATTCCTTCCATGTGTGCCTGCATGCCAGGAGGGGGCGCTAGATCTCATTATAGATGGCTGTGAGCCACCATGTGGTTGCTGGGAATTGAACTCAGGACCTCTGGAAGAGCAGTCAGTGCTCTTAACCGCTGAGCCATCTCTCCAGCCCCTTTATTTGTCTTTTTGAGGCATATTGCTTGCTGGCTACAAACACAGCAGTCCTTCTGCCTCAGCTCTGAAGTACTGGGTTTGACAGGCAGGGTAAACATCATATTCAGCTTTATAATTTCTTTCTGAATTAAAGGGATTTTATATAAAATCATTTTAAATAATATTGGAAATGAATATTTAAGTCTACATGACTTCTTTATTACTATTTATTTTTATTATCATGTACATATTAGGTTCCATAATGGCATTTTCAAACATTATTTGTTTGTGTTGTTTCTCTTGTCTTTATCCACCTTTTCTCATAGTTATTTTTAAAATGGAATTATTTATTGGCTTTTTCCCCCTTGAAATGTGCCTCATATAGTTCATGCTGGCTTCTAACTGGCTAAGGATGACCTCCCCTCCTGCCTCCATAGCCTGTGCTAGGGTCACAGGTGTGCACCACCTCCATAGCCTGTGCCAGGGTCACAGGTGTGCACCACCTCCATAGCATGTGCTAGGGTCATAGGTGTGCACCACCTCCATAGCCTGTGCTAGGGTCACAGGTGTCCACCACCTCCATAGCCTGTGCTAGGGTCATAGGTGTGCACCACCTCCATAGCCTGTGCTAGGGTCACAGGTGTTCGCCACCTCCATAGCCTGTGCTAGGGTCACAGGTGTGCACCACCTCCATAGCCTGTGCTAGGGTCACAGGTGTGCACCACCTCCATAGCCTGTTCTAGGGTCACAGGTGTGCACCACCTCCATAGCCTGTGCTAGGGTCACAGGTGTTCGCCATCTCCATAGCCTGTGCTAGGGTGACAGGTGTGCACCACCTCCATAGCCTGTGCTAGGATGACAGGTGTGCACCATCTTGCGTAGCTTTAGTTTGCAGTTTTCAAAGTCTTTTTGTAGTTGCTACTCCCTTCTTGCAAGAAAGAATTCTAATTTAAAAAAAAATCATATTATACAGAACACATAAAAAAGAAAAAATTTTTTTAGGTAGCTGCAGAGATGGCTCAGCGGCTAAGAGCACTGTCTGCTCTTGCAAAGGACCAAGGTTCCCAGCGCCCACATAGTGACTGGAAATTGGAGTGGGTAGCTCCAGTTCCCTGGGATCTAGCACCCTCTTCTGGCCTCTGCAGGAACCAGGCACATGTACAGTGTACCTACATAAATGCAGCCAGAACATTTACACATATTAGAATCTGACACCCTCACTCAGACATATATGCAGGTAAAACACCAGTGCATATCAAAGAAATAAATAGCTTAAAAATTTATATCTAAATTAACAATGTTATTAAAAATAATTTTTTTTAATGAAAAGGAAAATGTCAAAATTTCCCAATTGAGAGCTGCCATGTGGTGCTTGGAATTGAACCCAAGTCTTCTATAAGAACAAGCTGGTTTTTTTTTAAAGATTTATTTATTTATGTATGTATATGAGTATTTTGTTTGCATGTATAGCTGTACTTCAGAAGAGGGCATTGAATCCTGTAGGATTACAGTTACAGATGGTTGTGAGCTACCATGTGGGTGCTGGAAATTGAACCCAAGACCTCTGGAAGAGCAGCTAATGCTCTTAACAGCTGAGCCATGTCTCAGCCCCCCCTTAATTAGTTCTCGATAGGTAAAAGTCATAAGAAGGCAATCAAAAAGAGGCACTCTTAGGCAAGATTAGATATTTATTTCATTATCTGAAATGTAGAAGTCTTTTGGGATATCGCTATTGATTTTAGATTTTTAGACCAAACCAGACACAGTCACCATTCAGGTCACACACACCTGAGAAAGTGATTAAAATGGCTGAGCTAAACAAAAGGAGCCAAGGCCTTTGGGCTGGCATTTCATCCTGGTAGAGCCACTGTTGAAATAAGAGCGGCGGGGCTGCGTCCCCAACACCCCGGCCGCTTGGCTAGCTTATGCCCGAAATAGCAACACACAAACTGTATTCATTTAAAGAACTGCTTGGCCCATGAACTCTAGCCCTTACAGGCCAATTCTTGCACCTGGACTAGCCCATTTCTAATGATGTGTGTAAGCACCCCAAGGTGCGCTTACGAGGAAGATTCTAGCCTCCGTCCATCGTGGGTCTGAGCTTCATGCGTCTGCCTCAGAGCGCAGAGCTATTGCGTCTACCTGGGAGGGCTGAGCATGGCTTCTCTGCTCCAGAGCGCAGAGCTGTTGGGTCTGTCCGGGAGCAGAGCAGAGTCTGACCTCACTTCCTCTTCCGCCCAGAATTCTATTCTGTTTACTCCTCCCATCTACTCCTCCCATCTATGTTCTAAGCTATGAGGCCAAGCAGTTGGTTTATTACTTAAGCAATGAAATCAACAGATTGATATGACACTCCCACATCAAGCCACAGAGGGAAGATGAGCACAGTTTATATGTCCATTGCTGTAGGGCAGAGGACTTCCTATCACCCGGGTGCGCTGTGGCTAGCGTGCCTTTCCCTAGAGCCTTTCAGGGCTGGAGCGCACGGTGGATGACATGGCCCTGCCACAGGAGCTGCAGGACCATCCGGCTGCCGTCTAGGCAGATGACCTCATTCTGTTTTCACTGTAGTATGCTTTGTGGCCCTGCGTATAGGTCCTTAGCATGCTTTTCAGCGCGTTGTACATGTTTGCACATATCTGCCATGATTTATTTAATTGGCCTCTTATGACTATCAGATGATATTCAGTTCTGCAAGTGCAGCATTGCTGTTATAAGTTTCCTCCTGTACTTCAGGTCCTAAGTAGTTTAAATAATTAAGGACAAAATTGGGTGCTTAAATATGTGCCTTTTATGTTTTTGTCTAGATTGCCAGATTCCCACCAAAAAGAGAATAATAATTTGCAGATTTACTTACAATTCGGGAGAATAACTGCTTTTTTCTCTCCACCTTTTCCAGTACTATATTGGCTTATTATATAAAACTCCTTGCCATCCGAGTCAGAAGATAGCTCCCTACTGTGTTCGGAATGCCTTTCATTGCTAAGTGTCCACTGTAAAGTGAGGAACTCCAGGAGGACTTAGTTCAGAGGTCAAATAGGAGATTGGGTTAGCGATTACTGAGGCTGGCCATGGACCCATCACGGAGGACTTCCCTGCTGGAGTTAACAAAGAGGTGCTGTTTCAGTTTCACGCTGTGCTTTTAGCAGTGCAAGCTTATGCCTCTTGCTCTCATTTTAATTCCGTACCCCTTCATAACCTTATCCCTAGTCTGCTTTTGCCTTCCCACGATTGTCAGTTTCCTCAGTTTGCAGCGCTGGAAAGTGAAAGTCTGGACTCTTTGTCAATTAATGCATTTTCTGCCTCGGTGGAGGCAACCTCGCACGAGGTTTTATTTCCGTCTTTGTCTTTCTTAGCAATGTTCCACTGGTGTTCTTTGAGCTCTGGCCTCATGTTTTTGTCCTATTGTGTTTACAGCAGCACCTACTCCCTGACCTTCGTGCCACGCAGAAGCACTTTTCCTCCCATAAGAGGCACTTAGGATTTCTTGGAAATAATGATCTCCAGTTTTGCAACTGCATTTTTTTTTTCTCATTTAACTCTCTTACCCACTTTCACTCCCATTTCAAATGAAAGTGTTCTGTGGACTAAAGAGTATGGGTGTGTAAGAGGGCCAGTTGGTTTTCGAAACAAAAGAGCAAGCATGAGTTAACACCCACCTGTTTTAAGTGGTGGGGTAAATGAGACTGCAGGGATTTCTCGGGCAGTTGGAGTGTAGAACTTTTAAACGCTTGCTGGGCTTGCCCCGCTGTATGGAACTCAGTGGTGTCTGCTCCTGGCCGAAGGTGAGGCACTGTGTGAGCAGACAGACAGATTTCCCCGCTGTATGTAACTCAGTGGTGTCTGCTCCTGGCCAACTCATGAGGCTGTGTGAGCAGACACATCTGTAAACAGTCATTCACTGATCACTGGCCCCACAGGAAACCTGGCTTGAGTTTAATCTTTAGAACTGAGGGGAGAGGCACCTGTGACTACTGAGAAACGTAGGTGCAGACTAAATACTTTAGAACAGCTTCTTTGCTGTAAGCCCCCTGGCTGCCTTCTGGTAGGCTGGAGGGTAATAGTGAAATAAGAAAGGGTGATTTTCTCTCTAAGAAACAGAACAACATACCCAGTGGGCTGACTAATAAGAGGTAACACTCAGGGTGAGGATGCAGAGAAATTTGAGCCCCTGGTCACCTTGCTAGGGTTGGAGTATCGGTGTAACTACTTTGGAAAAAATGGTTAGTTCTTTGAAGAGTCAAGCAGCACCCAATGATCCAGCAATCTCCTTCTAGCTACCTAGCTAAGAGAAAATAGAGCTTTTGTCCACATCAGAACGTGGGGAGAGTGCACATGGGTCCTGGGAGTTTGCTGGCCAGCCAGTCTAGCTTGAAACTTTGAACTCTAGGCCCAGTGAGAGACCTTGTCTCAAGAAGGTGGAAGCTGGGTGTAGTAGCACACACCTTTAACCCCAGCACTTCAGAGGCAGAGGCAGATGGATCTCTGTGAGTTTGAGATCAGCCTGGTCTGAGTGAGATCCAGAACAGCCAGGGCTACATAGAGGGACCAAAAAAATAGAGAAAAACCAAAAAAATAAAAATAAAAAAGAAACAAAGTAGAAAAGCAGGTGAGAAGACATCAGCCTCTGACATCCACGTGTGTTTGCATGAGTGAACACCCCTTCCCCCCCCCCCCCCCCCCCCCCCCCCCCCCC